CAGGGGAGGAACTGTGTTTCAAAGATAATATGCTAATGAATAGCATTTAGTTTTTACAAATTTAAGTGGATTCAACATAAAACATTTATGTTGTTCCAAAAACAACTTAAGAGTGGTGTTGTTTCAATTCATTTTAAATAAATAGTTTGATCAAGCAGCAAAAATAATATTTTGAGTGAAGAATTAAACTCAACGTTTCGAGTTTTGAAGTACCTCAAAATTCTAAACAACCTTAGAAACTCACAATTACAAAAAGTAAAAAGACAGAATTCAAGTTTAGGGTTTATATTTGTGAGTTTAACCCTATTTTAATTGTTTTCCTCAGCATTACAAGCAATTCTGAAGTGTGAGGAAAAAAGTCATCACTGTGAAATATGACAACATGTATAATAACACAGCAAAATGCTAACATGAAACTGGTACCGTTTATTGGTTACACCATGAAAATATTTTACAAATTGAATCAAACTACTGTATGTATGATTATAGAAATCAGAGCCCTCGTGATTTAATTATTCAATTGTTTATCATTCAGCTCTGCGTGAAGAAATAAGCTCATCCATTCACACTCATCCTCCACCCTTGTATATCTGTTGTTAACAATATGGTTTTAAGATGGGGAAAATCCCACACTGAAACTCCAGTTAAATGTTACCGGTACACTCCTCTCCTAAGACAGACCTTGGCTCACCTTCACAGAGAGACTGAGATCACAGACTGGATCTTCATGCTTCAACATAAAATGTCCTCTCATCCGTTTCGAAACTGTGTATAGATGTGCCTCTTTAGTCATTGTTGTTTAAATGTCTCATTGAGCCGTTAAACAACATTCAGGAAGATTTACCCTGTGGTGTTTAAATCTCATATCATCTTCCCCAGTGCGTCTTGCTTGGTTTCATGTGAAAATGCTGGTACTATCCGTCAAAGAAAACACAAAACCTGGTGTGGTTATTATGTGTGAGGAATTGAAATAATATTTGGAAAGTGTGTTTCTGTTTCTTTGGATCTCACTATATTGTTAATGACTGCACTTGTTCTCTTTAGAGCTTTGCCTGATGTGCATCATTACTAAGCATCAGCAGAGATTACTCTAACTTTGGGTTTGACCCAAAAGAAAAGGTCAGTTTTTATTTCACTCAGATTCAGTCATTGTGTTGCTGTTACCTGAGAAGGTCTCCTAAAAGAACATTAAAGCTGATGAGGTCTCAGCTTAAAAGGACAGTTCAGCCAAAAATGAAAAGCATCATCATTTGCTCAATGTGACTTTTTTCACTTTATTCACTAGAAATCAAGGTTCTTCACTGTCATCTGTGATGATTAACTTTTTTTAGAAGGTTATTTTGTAGTTGAAAAAGATTATTTAGATTATTAAAATATGTATAATTAACCTAAAGTGGTTGTCCTCTTAAGTGTTTTGAAAACTTTATTGAATATAAAGGATATTTAACATTTTTATTCAGAAATCAGATTGTTTTTGTGACATTTCAGTAACTAAACGCTTCCTTCTTTTTCTCTCCTTTTATTTTTAGGTTATTAATATTTGTATTTGTTTTGATGCTCAACAAATCAGCCAATATGGAACACCGGAATTTTCCATATTGGCTAGAAATCTGTTTTTACCCGCTTAAGAATATTTACCATTTTTGAAAAACAAAACAAACAAGGCTTTTATAAGATAATACTTGATTTAATGGCCTGTAAAATGTACTGTGCAGCATGCCATTTTGAGAATTTGAGCTTGAAACAAATCTAAAAATCACAGAGTCTCATGGCATTCTTCATACATTTGCAAAAGGAAATCACAATCTTGCCCTCCTTGATATTATAGCAGTGATAGCAAGCAACCGTCATATAAAAAGAACAGCTTTGCCTCTATTTCAAAGCACCTTCTAGCGTTTGGTCTAATAAAAAAAACAACAATCTACTTTTAGATGTAAAAATATATATTTGTATTTTCAAATAAATAAATACATACAATAAATATGCGTATCAAGAACTGTATAAATAACATCCTGTGAGATGGCATCTCTTGTTCTCCAGTGTCCCAGTTCTGTCATCTCTGAGCATCACGTAAGGATTGTTCCTTCAAGTCCTTCTTAACCCATATTGAATATTTCCAGAGCGAAGCAGCACTTTGTTTAAAACCTCCAAAAGTCTCAGCTTTTTTTGTTTCATGCTACTAGTCAGTTTGAACCAGCAACAAAGACACCATCTCTTCTCCATCAGTACTGGCCAGTGCATTTCCAGAGCAGTTTGGATGCGGTGACCAAACATTTTCATATCACCTCCTTATGAAGCGAAGAAACTGCGCACATTTCTCATCCCTGAAAAGTCTCAACTGTGTCCGAGCACCTCTTTATAAAGTTCTGGAACTTTTTCAGGGTCCACAGGTCTTGGAAGAAAGTGAGTGAACTTTTGATGTCTCCTAGATTTTGTCCCATCCCGCGGCGTCCCATCCTTGTTGAGAGCCACAAAATATCTCGCTCCTCTTTCTCCATGCTTGTAGAGATTAGAAGAGTATGTGTTGTACCAGTTCTCCTCAAACTGCTCACGGAAAACACATTCTGCTGTGAGTTTCTCCTGAGAAAGCAAAAACAAAACATGCTGGTCAGTTTTCTTAAAATCAAACATGGAAATGATAAGACAGACATGCCATCTACTGGGCTTGGGTTAGAATAACAGTGTTGTAGGGTTATTCTTGAAAAGACAAGTCTGCTTACTGAGCCATAAAGTTCTCCCTTGTCGTTCATCCCAAGGTAGAGCCCACTGTCCACTCCACGGATGCTTATTAACCCAACTGCAAGGCTTATGAATTCCAAAATACCTGGAGAAGAATAAATCAATTGTTCAGGAAAGGTTCTTTGAAGTCTAAAGCCTCGTTCACATATTCTGAGTGAACTGAACTACATTTCCATGTCTATACATAATAACACACATCATTTAAAATAAATCTTCAATGGTGGGTTGAACATTAGATTAGGAAAATGACATTTTCGTTGCTTTTTACGCACATGTTTTTAAGTTGGTTATTTATTTAGCTGTTTTTAAAAAGTTTCTCATCTTAAAGGTTCCTCCTTTGAAGGTGAAGAATTATAAGGAGGCCAAGTTGTTGATTTGAAAGTTCTTTAGAAAGTTTAAGCTGATCCATGTGAACTATAAAAACGTTTTTTAATTTTTTTATTTAAATGTACAGCCACAATGCTACATGATAGTTCAATTTCTGCTTCGATGCTGACCATAAAAAAGGGTAAAATTACCGAAGCGACTGTGGTCCTTTCTGGTGCCCTGCACACTGCCATCCGGGAGTATTTCAAGGTGAAATCCAGTCCTGCAGTACAACTGTCTTCTCCGCAGGATCCCTTTCAAGTGCGTGAGATCTGCGGAGGTGCTCCGTGACAGTCTCTCTGCTGGAAATAAATGATCATTCAACAGTCCGAGGTTTTCTCCTAGAGGTGGCAGGAAGAACTGTGAACCGACCTGTCCGAAACCTTCCAGGCTCTGCAAAAACGTCCCGATCTCTCCCATAGCTGCCATCTCAAACCTTCCAGTTCTGCCGGGGAAAATTGATCTAGGTGATTATGCTGAAGCAATCGTCCCAAGCTATACGTTACGACGAATAATATCCATGCGAGTGCGTCACTTGTAGTGGATCCATGCTGAGCGCATATGAAAGATCACTTGACATGATCCAGTGGGAAGAAACTTAGTCACGGTCAGTAACTGACTTCAGATTAGTCCTTTAATGTCTGCTCTGACGTCTCGTCACCATGGTGGTCGCTGGTGCTTTGTGACATGAGTAAGTGTGGAGCAGGTATGAGGCAGCAGGTAGGCTATGTGTTGTTGTGGGAAGTGCTTTGCGCAGTGAGTGGCTGCTGTGCGCGCGGGGCAGGTGCAGAGCTCGGGCTGCTGTGGGCGGGACATCGCTTTGGTCCAGCCTTGAGTTTTTGCGCACAATCACAGTTGTTTGTGTTTGTCTTTAATGACTGTGTTTGTGCGGGTCAGGTTTTGCATGCAATGTGGGCTTCAAATGTTGGCTATCCATCAAACAAGTAGTCTGATGCCACTATATTGTAAAGTGTTGGTGTCTTTGTTGCTGTGCGCCTGTGTGTGTTTAGCCTCTCTACAAATGTAAAGTTTAAGGCCCACCTAACCTACATTTATTCCACATCTTATATCAAAAATCATTCTAGGCATACTAATTTCCTGCTTAAGAACATTCCTGATTGTTACTCAAACATTCGTGATGCTTTATATATTTGTGGAAACCATGATGTATAATTACCAATAAAAAGAGCCATTTTAATAATACGTTTATTCATGAAAAACTCAAGACATTTAAAACATTGCAGTAATTTTAAAATTTTTATTGAACTTTGTCATGACGGGTTGACAAATGTGGTTTGAATGTAGAAAATATTCAAAAAAACTCCAAGACTAATGCTAATAATGATACGAAGAATTATTCATGACTAAGCATTGATACTAATAAATAATAAGACTAATAAGAGCAACAATCAGAGTATTAATATGATTTTGAAAGGATAATGAGACTCAATATTGTAGTAATGATTCCTATTTTTTAACAACATGAATAAAATGCATATTAAAATATTTTCACGTAGTAAAACTAAAGATTGATATATTTTTTTCTATCCATATGTGTGTACTGAATTTGTGACATTGAGAGAGTAGCAGTGGCAATGTGCTTTTGAAAAGGTAAATAGTTTTTGACATACATTTTTGAAGTTTATGGATTTTTTAAGTGGTACATACAGTTTAATATAGGTTAATCATACTGAAAACCGTAGCTTATTAAACTTGAAAAAAGTAGGCTGCCGTCCAATTTTCAATAGAATCTATGTAAGGCCAGTTTTTAAAAACGTAAAATTAATGTTATTTGAGATCTGAACGGATTAACTATGACCTGAATCGAAAGGACAAATGACTGCAAATACAGCTGCTTCTGCATTCATGTGTTTCAGCGAGGTCACATACAGTATCTCGCGAGGAGTGCGCGCGGTCTGTCAGCCGTCACACAGTCATGATGGCCGCCGTCCGTCGCTTTCTGGGTCTTCGGAGCAAGTTCACCAGCTCTGTAAACGGGTTAAACATTTACTTCAACAGCAGAAATTCACCGAGGGAAAGAGCAGCTCTGAGACGCGTAGGGACAGGGCTGTGTATCGCTCTCGGCGGGTTCGCCTTTGTTTACTACCAGCACAGTTCGAGTCCGGATCGGAGACGCGCAGCGAGTCTGCGCGCATTGATTTCACCGCTCCCAGCAGTGGCTGCAAAAGAGAAGGTATCTACATTTTAGTACATTTTGCGGTGTTGTAGTGTTCACTTTAATATTGCTTCATCATCCAGGTTTTTTATTGTGGTTAAAGTCTGAAAATCGTGTCGTTGTTTTGTCATCAAAACAGTCGCTCTCCACCACAGAGGTGCTGAATTCACTGTTTCAGTTCATTTGTCAGGCGATGATGTGTTATGATTCTGTTTAAATTATAATTTCAACCAGTATTATTAACACCATTGTACGTTTTGTGCATGTGATGTTTAGTATTGACTTGGGCTCCAGAAGGGTCATTTTACTAGGCATGCAAATTCAGTCATCAATCCTGAGCTGTCCAGATCTCTACTGGCATTTGTATGTCAACCAGATTTCCATTAGTTTCTGAAACCACAATAGTTCGTCAACTCACAGTGAAGAGTGCTATTTATTACTATTACTGTAATCATTTTATATACTGGAGAAAATAAAAACAATTTTCATTCATGCAAATACACGAATGTGATGCAAATGCATGACACAAATGATGATTATTACTGTCATTAATTTCTTTAAAAATGGATTAGGTAGTGTATTACTTGATGTAGTTTATTTAAAAAAAGGGTTAATGGTCTTTTTATATTAAGTGTCTTTAACTGCTATGTACTTGTATCAAATGTACTTATGTATCAAAAAAGATTAATTTGTACAATAAAGTTATTGCTTCTGAGTTTAGTATGGTTAAGGTTAGGGACAGGGTTAGTGGTAGAGATAGAATTGGTTGCAAAATCAACGAATGTTTAGCCATAATTACATGTAGGATTTTTAAGGATAGAACTACAATGTAAACACACACAGTCTGTAAAAACTGCTGATTTCACAATTGCTTCATGTTGTACCAACACAAACTGATTTAGTTAACTTAATATTTTTACAAATTTAAGTGGATGGAACATAAAACAATTAAGTTGTCTTATTTTAAATAAGAAGTTTATGCAAGCATAATTTTTTAAGTGTGCACAATAAGCATTGTGTCAATTATTAATTAAATATTAGAATTAAAGATACCTAATGTAAAACAAGTCATGTCTAACTGGGCGAAATAACCCTTGAAGCCTTTACAAGAAATACTCCTGGTTTTGTCTGTTGTTGAAAGACATATTTTTCAGATTGTTATCAGATTGATCATTAAACCAAACAGGAGCGTGCGACTCTGTTCCCTTTTGTTTTTCTACTCTTATCTGCATTCGTCGGACATAACCTTGACTTGTAGATTGAGACGCAGGAATTCAGGGTTGAGGTAACTGGACACGGCAGCTTGGCAGTCGGGTGAACGTTTGATGGGGGTAATAAGTAGCAGGGAACACATTCCCAGGGTGTTTGCACAGTGCCCAGTGGGCCTGGCTGTCGGCCAGTGTAGAGCGAGAAGAACACAGTCCTCGTAAGATTAGCCCTGGATATTTCTGCTTATGTGCATGTTTTTGCACAAAAAGCCTTCAACTGAAAGATGGAAAGAATGAGAAGATGCTTCACTCTTTCTTTAATGACACAAAAGTGAGTTTTGGATTTGTTTGTTCATAGGCCAGTGCATCTGGTGAAGATGAGGTGTCGTTGTCTGCACACGAGCACAGGTTCAGGCTCTTCAGCTCAGTGGAGTTTGATGGACAGCTCTACATGACTCCCCTTGACTTCATTGAGTCCGTCACTATGAGCGAACCGAAGAGTGAGTCACACAAACAGTTCATCTTCCTCTTTTACAGAATATGTGACTATTTACCACAAAACCAGGAATAAGTGTCAATTTTTTGAAAGCTGAATAAACGTGTGTACACTAAAACTATGCTAAAAAGAAAATATTTTTCTGAGATACAACTATATGAATATCTGGAATCTAAGGGTTTTAAAAAAATCTAAATACTGAGAAAGTTGTTTTTAAATTATTCAAATAAAGTGCTTGGCAATGCACATTACTAATTAGAGTTTTGATTTATCTTATCATTTTACCTAATATTCTAATGATGTTTGGAATAAAATAAAAATATGTCATTTTGAGCCACAATATTTTTCTGGCTATTGGCAAATATATAGCAGTGCAACTTGTTTTGTGTTCCAGGGTCACATGTACTGGCGATACTGGGCTAAAAAGTTATGCTAAAAATGTTTCATACCAGTCATAATCATTACATCATGAAATTATCAAATCTAACAAAGTCAAATCTCTAAAATCAAACAAAAAGTGCTCAATTATGTGTCTGTGCTCTTTGGTTAAGGGATTCATCCAAACAAACAACAAAAATCAGTCCAAGGCACTTGAAAATGTGGAAAAAATATTAAACAGCCTTTACTGACATGGCTATTCCTTAAAACTGCGCCTATGCATTTTGGCAAACAACTGCCTTCATCAGGTTAACACTGTTACTGGACTGGACTGATTTTGTTGTAAAGTCAAATCTCTATTACTTTAAATTTTAAAGGTAGACTTTTTGCTTCTTTGTGAAATTTGTAAAAACCAGTAAGTTGTTAAAGATGACAAAATTACCAATTGAACATATCACAAATCTAACCTGCAATATTTGCGATTTTAAATATTTATAAAACTTAATTGAGTAAACTTAAAATTAATTTGAATGACTTATTCCTTAAGAAATTATCTGAACAGAGAAATTGATTATTTAGTAATTGCTTATGAATTAGTGTGTTCTAACTGGTGATATCAATTTTGTGTAGTTTCCTTCTGACTTTAAGGAGATGAAGCAGATTTATGTTCAGTAAAGCAATAACATCTGTAAAAAAAATGCATTTAAATATTCAATCTGCATTTAAAGTGAATCACAGTCTGCTTTGCTTAATTCAGTTCTTTTTGGAGCTGGTCGTGTGATAGATTTAAAAGCTATTATTATTCTTAAGAAAGCAAACCTAAACTCACACTCTGCAAGTGTAAAGTAAATATTACTAATGATTTAGCTTCATAATAACAGTATATTTTCAACCTGAATGACATATTATGTTCATAAGCACAATAATAAAGAATAACTGATGAACAAATCATTTACAGCAGTGTTTTGTAAACCATTACTACTGAATAATTATCAAAATCAGATGTATACGGCAGTATAGGAACAGTGTATTCTTTACCTTTCTTTTTTTCCTTTTTTTAGGATTTCAAACAGCATGACTTGAATGCCATGAATATAATGTTTGGGTGATCTGTACCTTTATTACAGAAATTTGCCTTTAATGCTTTAATCTTAAAAGCAAATTACCCAGCAGGCATAAAAAACAACATTTATAGTTGTAACACCTGCATGAAGATACTCATCTCTTTCTGCCAGCATCACACTTATGACCTATTTCTGTAACCAAAATCTGAAAGCCGCTAGACTGACAAGATTTAAAAGTGTGTGTCAGATACAGCGAATCTGCTAAACGGAAAAATATGGAGTCTGAAATATACAGCCCAGATGGTAGAGTTGATATGCTCTGTTTTTTCACGACCCAGCTATACTTGTATGGGAGTTGAGTTTCAACCAGTCATGTTTGCTGCTATATGAAACTTGGACCTCTTGGAATGTGCAGACGAGAATAAAATGTGAACTCTAGTATGGAGGGAAAACATTGCATCACTGACTTTTAATGGCATATGCGTGACGGTACGAATAGTGGTATTTATGGTTTTATGCGGTGGCTGTAAAACTGACTTTGAGTTCGTTTTATAAACAGAAGCTTGTCATTTAAACTTATTATTGTTTTGATTTGTACAGTAAAAACTATTTTGATGATTATCGTTTACTCCCACTTTATATTAAGTGGTTTTACTAAATGTACTACTAAATGACTAAATGACTACTAAAACTTGCACTGAAATTTATAATTTGTTACAATGTACCTATTGTGCAAATACATGTTTTCATATTGTACTTATACTTGATTAAATACTTGCATGTAATTACATTTATAATTACACCCATCCCTAAACCTATCACTTGCATTTTCTGCAGATATGTAAAAGAGCTGGTATGACTGTGTGCAGGTACAATATGGTCAAGCTAATGAGAAAGAGAAAACAGGGGCATTCATTTGAAGCATTTTTAACCTGAATGACACTCTACTAAATGAACAAAACTGATTTTCTAATGTTTCTAAATAATGCTATAATTTGAATAGCCAAAAGTGGGAAATTGGCGGTCTGTGGCTCAGTGGGTAGCATTGTTACCTCATAGCAATAAAGTTGCAAGTTTGAGCCCTGGCTGGGTCAGTTGGTGTTTTTGTGTGTTCATGTGGGTTTCCTCTGGGTGCTCCGGGGTCCCCCAAAAAATACATGTGGTATAGGTGAATTTAATAAGCTAAATTGACCGTAGAGTATGTCTGTGAATGCGAGAGTGTATGGGTGTTTCCCAGTCTAAAATGCAGCTGGATGGGCATCCACTGTGTAAAACAAATGCTGAATAAGTTGTCGGTTCATTACGCTGTGGCGACCCCTGATTAATAAGGGGACTAAGGCGAAACGAAAATCAATGAAAGTGGGAAATTGCTGTTAATGGAACAATTCGCTCAAAAATGAAAATTATTCCATTATTCACTTACTCTAAAGCCATCCTCGCTGTTTATGCCTTTATTTAATATTACAGTAAGTGTATCTTTTTTAAATAGTGTAATAAATATAATAAATAATAACTAAGGATTGTAATTACAAGTACATTTATCCTCATTAAATTAATCTGATGGATTGATAAATTAATGATTTTTATTTAGAAAAATATTCACATTAAGACATTTGCATGCATCTGCAAGTCACAACACAGTACACTATGTGTAATGTCGAGTTGACCAGAAGCCACAGTTCATAGTTGAGAAGATAAGAAATTTGTGGAGTTTAACAATAATGAAGTAAACGTTTTTAAATAGATTCTGTTTTTAAGACATGTGACAGGGTGAGCAATTCAAGATAGTTTAAAGCATTCAGAAATTTTACTGCTTGAATATTTTATTTACCATTCATTTTGTTGGATTATTTGTACAATAACGAGACAGTTTTATTTTACATTTGATTATTCAATTTCTGTACCTCCTGAATACTGTTTCACTCTGCAGACGACCATAGAATACTTTTTATTTCATGCACTGTTTTTTGTCTATGCTTGTAATTGGTTTATTAAAATTTATGCATGATTCACTAACCTACACAATTCTTTCCAAATATCTGTATTCATGCCATCTGGTGAAGTTGTATTAAAATCACATTATGTTGTAGTAAACAAAATTTGGCTGGGATTTTTCCAATATCATGCAGCTCTAAGATAAACCATTATAGCTGGCTAAAATCATTGAAATGACTGCTGTTTTAAATGTACCTGACCATAAATGAAAGTATCTGTTTTTGCTTTATTTTTTTAGAAAAGAGGTTTTGGAAATCCCTCACAAAACAGGTTTGATAACAACTTGTATATTTGGTTAAATTGTTAATTATCTACTTCTGATTTCAGAAAATCTCACTCTCACATTCTTTTAAAAGGAACTGGACAAGATTCTGTCAGATACGCCACCTGTGTGGAAAGGATCATCTCGTCTGTTTCGTAACCTGCGGGAAAGAGGTAAGATGGGATCATTTATTGATTTGTTCTATATAGCGTCATACACTTTGTCTTTTGTTTGCAACAATAAATTCCTAAAGGAAACTTGTTTTTGAAAGGATCTGCTTTCAAAGTCGGCTATTATATTAAATACACACAAACTCAATTCTGACAAAAGATAAAATCTAGAAAATTTGACTTTATTTTAAACCTCTAATAAATTGACAACAGTACAAAGAGTAGAGTTTAATAGTTTTCACTGACTAAATGAATTGTGTTCTGTAAATAAAGACACATTTGGATTTTAATGGCTGCAACATAAGCCAAAATGTGGGTCAGAGGCTAAATAAATTGGAAAATAGAAAATATTATAGAATATCCAAATTAAACAGCTTTTAAACAGTCCACAATAAGCAGATGAACTGGTAATACATTAGGGTTTCATCCCAAAAACATTTGGTTTTGTCAGTGAAAACACTAGAATTCTTTTGGAGAATCAAAGAGATAGTTCAACTAAAAATTAAAATTAACTATTTACTCACCCTAAAGTGGTTCTAAACCTTGGGTTTCCTTCCTCTGCTGAACACGTAAGAAGACATTGTAAACAGGCTGAAAACCTGTGACCATTGACTCCACAGGAAAAACAAATCCCATGTAAGTCAATGATTACAGGTTATTAACATTTGTCAAAATATTTCATTTTGTGTTTAATCGAAGAAAGAAGCTCATAGAGGTTTGAAACTATCCCTTTAAGCAATTGCATTTTGATTTCCTTTTATTTTATCTAAAAAGTCCCAAATGTTTCAGAATTGGAAATGTGCAATAAATTGTTATCCATAAATCCAAATGCACAGATATTGTGACGTCATTGTAATCACTATAGAGTTTTTTGAGTGTGCAGATGCTCAGGCCTCACACACACACACACACACACACACACACACACACACACACACACACACACACACACACACACACACACACACACACACACACACATACACACACACACACACACACACACACACATACACACACACACACATACACACACACACACACACATACACACACACACACACACAGACACACTCAGAGTTATAAAACCATCACGATCCTGTACTCGGGCCTCATGCAGCAGGAGAGAAAGCGCAGGCTGTAAATGCTCTCTTATCTCTCAATCGCTCTGCCATTACTGTGACTTTGCTCTGGGATAATAATGCACAGATAGGAAGGTGACAACAACAGCCTGCGCATGACGTGTGGTATGTTGTTCTGAATAGGAAACAATCATGCGCTCAGCCGAGGGGTGTGGCGTACTCACACAATCACACTAATCCAGAAATTACCCAGCTTTATATTGCCCTCAGGTCTTACTTTCTAGACGTGCTTGAAGAAAAGCCTCTGTTTACCTATCATACTTGACGTGTCAGCAACACAAGACAAATTGAAAAGCAGTTTATGCTATGGCAAGAATTGCAAAAATGACACACATTGAATGTAGGCATGTGCATCGTTTACACTGTCGCCTCACAGCAATAAGGTTGCTGGTTTGAGTCCTGGCTTATTGAGTTTGCATGTTCTCCCCATGTTCACATTGTTTTCTTCTTGTGCTGTGGAACTGCCCAGTTCCCTAGGTATGCTACTGTATAGATGAACTGAATAATCTAAATTGGACATTGTGTGGAATATGTGCGAATGTTTGAGTGTATGGGGGTTTTCAGCATTGGGATGCATGAGTAAATGCACTCTCAGGGAGGCAGGAAGCAAATGGAAAAAAAAAATATTTGAGTCCCATATGGCTAAGGAAAGTGACTGAGTGTTAATGTATAGACATGAAGAATAGACTTATCATCCCATTTTGGTGTCTCTATTGTTTTATACATAGGAAGCACATAATACATGCAAGTGTTGCTTTTAAATAGTTTTAAATAGTTTTTGTGAAAATTATTTCATCAAAATATGTGGGAAATAATATTCTGTTATTATGTAGTGAACAGATATATTTACTGTATGTAAAAATATTCTGACTAGTACTTAGTAAAATATATAAAGATTAGCTACACTTTTCAAAATTTATAATATTTATTGCATTATTTACAATTATTCTATATTATTTATTTATTTATTTATTTTTATATAATTTAATTTCCAGATTTTTCAACAGTGTTTGGCAACCTGGGAAAAAAGTTACAGACCATGATTGTAAAACCAATACCAATTGTATGTGGATTATTTACTAAATAATAATAATAATAATAATAATAATAATAATAATAATAATAATAATAATAATGATGATGATGATGATGATGATGATAATAAAAACAAACAAATAAGACAATAGGCTTAACAAATTGGGCCAATTGACCTTATTCTTTAATGCAGAAGTGCCCTCGTCTTTGCGATTATTTTAGAACTTCCAATTCAGTGGCCTGGGGAAGAAATGACTAGGAATAATAAACAGCAGAAAACTGTCAAACTACTTGCTCTACAACCTCGTGTTTGCATCATTATACAAACAAAGTAGAATAATAAAATAAGAAAATATCAGTTTGCAACATCAAGCAGCAAAACAAGATGAATGGAAGTGAATGAGAACGGAAATCTTGAGCCAAAAAGATTCAAATGGCTGCGCCTGCTTGTACGTGAAGAATAAGGTCAATACATCCAATTAAAATCCTTTTATTTTATATGTATCATTAATATTTAATTACATTCTAAAATTAATTAACAATCATATATCTCTTTGATATTGTTGACCTGTAAAATTTTAATATGACTAATAGTACATATATTTATACAGTAGTTAAATGACAACACTAATATTTATGAAGGTTTTTCTTTAGTTTACGTTGACCATAGATAATTTATTTTGATAAAAAATGCAGGGAAAGTTTTCTTTTAAAAGTTTTTTTTTTTTTTGTTAGCAACTTTTCTATAAATCTTTCACATTACAAACTACAGAAGATGTTGGAAGATAGCACAAGTAGCTTTTTATATTTATTGTCCAAGTCATTATAAATATACAGTTGAAGTCAGAATCATTAGCCTTTTGACTTTTTTAGATATTTTCCAAATGATGTTTAACAAAGCAAGGAAATTTTGACAGTATGTCTGATAATATTTTTTCTTCTGGAGAAAGTCTGATTTGTTTTATTTCAGCTAGAATAAAAACAATTTTTATTTTAAAAATAAATTTATGGTCAAAATTATTAAGCTATAAGCTATATATATATTAGCTTTAAGCTTTTTTTTTTTGATATTCAACAGAACAAACCATCATTATACAATAACTTGCCTAATTAACCCAACCTAGTTAACCTAATTAACCTAGTTAAACAATTAAGTGTCACTTTGAGCTGAATACTATTATCTTGAAAAATATCTAGTCAAATATTATTTACTGTCATCATGGGGGGGTCTAATAATTCTGACTTAAACTGTATATTTTATTTATGTATATCAGTCCAACTATTGCAGTCTTGTTCAAAAATACTTTAATACTAAAACTTGTTAGACTTTAATGTGTGGGGCTTTCCGAGAACAGTACTTTCCTTGTAGTTTTCTTTCTTCCACTTAAAATGGTAAAACACTCCACATGTGCATGATATCGGTGCTCAGCTCTGCTCTCCCTGAGTGCCAGTGCCTGGATTTGGGCTTTTAATCCGCCTGTTAAATGTTAAAGCTGCACTTAGGTTAAAAAAAAAAAAGAAGATAGGCTTGATCTGCAAACAAAGCCTTGCTTGAGAAAATGAAAAGAGCTGTTTGAACTTTGCAGTGTTGAGACTTGTCGTGGTGGCAGAGCCCCGTATCACTGCGGACAGTATGAATTCAAAGAATGGCATTGAATTACATCTCCATCACTGACACTCTGTATGAATTGTTTCTGTGCGAGTCTTTGTGTTCTGACAACTGTTTGAGCTCTTTCTGCAAGACTGAAGGTGTGTGGCTCTAATGAAACCTGTCTGTCTGAGGCTGTCAGAGGCTAAATGCTTCTAAATAAGCTTTGAGTAGTTTAAATATATATTCAATTCAAGTTCATTTGTATAGTGCTTTTCACAATAATTATTGTTTCAAAGCAGCTTTACGCAAAGTGCACACTATTGCATTACAGTCAAAATCAGAAAAGTTAAGGTTAGTTACCGTAACTTTGATAGTTACTTATAATTTTAGCTAATTAACTAATAACTTTAACAATTAAAGTTATTATATATGAACATAGTTAACCTGCAGTTATATAGTATACAGTAGTTGACGTCTCTGTGTACATGTTCAATGTAGTGCAGGGGTGTCAAAGTCAACTCTTAGAACCGCCGGAGCCCTACAGAGTTAATTCCAGCTCTGCTTCAACACATATCTGTAAACAAGCCTAAAGCACTCAATTAGTTTGATTAGGCATGTTTAAAATGCTTTTATTCTAGCCAAAATAAAACAAATCAGACTTTCTCCAGAAGAAAAAAAATATTATCAAACATACTGTGAAAATTTCCCAAAGATGGGTTGCAGCTGTAAGGGCATGCGCTGCGTAAAACACATACTGGAATAGTTGGTGGTTAATTCCGCTGTGTCGACCCTAGATTAATAAAGGGACTAAGCTGAAAAGAAGATAAATGAATGAATACTGTGAAAATTTCCATGCACTGTTAAACATAATTTGGGAATATTAAAAAAAGAAAAGAATTAAAGAGGGTCTAATGATTCTGATTTTAACTGTATATAAGTCATTTTATACATTTCATAAAAAAAAGAAAAAGAAATATATATATATATATATATATATATATATATATATATATATATATATATATATATAATATTTTAATGTATTGAAATAATTTAAATGTATATAGTTTTTCTTCTCTAATTAGTCATAGGAAATTTTATGTAGTATAATATTATGCTTATTGAGTTATGTAACTACAGTAAAGCAGTATTATTGTGAAATAGTGTATTGTGAGTTATTGTAAATAAATATATATTTATTAAATCATGTCCACTATTATTATTTTAAATTTTAAATATATGAAGTGCACAGCTTTAATATTGATTGTTAAAAAAGTAAGGTAAATCTAATTTTTTAGCACCATTACCCAAATATTCAGTCTCATCCTTTTGAAATCATTCTAATATGCTGGTTTGCTGCTTAAAATATTTTTAAAACAATTTTTGTGGTGAATATATCTAAAAATGTTAAGATATATAAATAAATTAATAATTTAAAACAATTAATTATGTATGAGTGTGTGAATGTAAGAGTGTATGGGCGTTTCCTAGTACTGGGTTGTGACTGGAAGGGCATCCGCTGCGTAAGACATATGCTGGAATAGTTGGTGGTTCATTCTGCTTTGGCTTTCCCTTGAAAAATAAGAGACTAAGCCGAAAGAAAATGAATGAAGGAACAAACTAATTATATTAAATCAACACAATCAAACTTGAGACTTTAATTAAAGCTAGGGTTTACACAAAAGAAGATATTTTGAAGAATGTTAGAAACTGGTAGGCATTGACATACATAGGAAAAACATTCATCCATTTATTTTCCTTCAGCTTAATCCCTTATTTATCATGGGGCGCCACAACGGAATGAACCTCCAACTATTCTAGCATATGTTTTACGCAGTGGATGCCCTTTCAGCTGCAGTCCAGCTGTACTGGCACACACACACAGACACAAACACACGCACACACACACATACACACAGACACACACGCACACGCATACACACACACACACACTTGCCAATTTAGTTGACCCAATTCACCGTTAGCGCCAAATGTTTGACTGTGGGGGAAACTGGAGCACCCGGAGGAAACTTACGTGAACACGGTGAGAACATGCAAACTCCGCACAGAAATGCCAACTGGCCCGGCCATGACTCGAACCAGCAACTTTCTTGCTGTGAGGCGACAGTGCTAACCACCGAGCCACTGTGCTGCCCCATAAGGAAAACAAATACTATGGAATTTCCAACATTCTTCAAATGATCTTTTTTGTTTTTAACAGACTGTAGGATGAGTAAATGATGGCAGAATACTATACATTTAAAGATCATCGAGACATCAGAGTGACCTGAAATGTGAAAGCGTATCTTCTCTGTTTTGCTTTACACACACCTTTCTTAAACCTTTTCCTAAAACATTCCAAAGTCCTTTTCCCACAGCACTGAAAGCAGATCTCCTGAACTCTCAGTGTCCGAATCACTATCATCTCCTTCAGACAAAAGCTTGGGAATGCTTTCAGTGGCAGAACAATCTCTCCCAGACAGAGACCTGACAGTTGCTCTTCCTTTCTTCTCCTCTCACACAACAAAGACACGAACAGACCTAAGAAAGCCAAACAAACCCACACCAGGCATCCACAATCAGTTACAGATCACTTGAGAATGGTTTACACCTAGGAAAATAAACAGAGGGGAAGCTAATTTTGTTTGGGTTTGTGTCCAGCTTTGGTTACTTTGCGTTTCAGCGTCTCCGCTTGTGCAAAGAAAACACCAAACAAGAGCAAAAGCACAGGATCATCTGAGATCTTATCTGTTCAAGAAGAAAGGAGCTCTGGTTTGAAATGACATTCGATTGGAAAAATTTATTTTCTGGGATTTTTGATCTAGGAATGGCAATCGACCATCGATAAATTGACGTTAATCCTTTTATTGATACACTTTGTCATTGGTCAATTAAGCATTAACTTCATTAATAGTAAATGTTTGAGGCACATTCAGCCTATTGTGAGGGGAAAATTAATTTATTTAAAAAGGCATTAGTTTAATGTTCAGGGTGTTTGGATGTCTTGTTTTGTTGCATTTAGCTTGGCCATTTAATAAAATTCTATGGTTTGACTTTCATGGTATGAGTATAATTTCACGTAGTAACAGTAATTTTATTTTATAGTGATGATATTTTTTTGTTACAGTTATTTAAATAAGCAGTTATTCCAGTAATTTAATAAAAAGGATTATAGTAAATAAACTTTATGAATTGAAAAAGACTTCAGCTTTTTTTATTTAAACATTTTTTAATATGACAGGGATGCACAATTATTCTCCTTTTGACTGAGCTTAACTGTATTTTGCCTGTTTGTGTGTTTTACAGGTTAATTTATAGAGTTAAGTTTGAGATTTTTGTTCACAATAATGGTTAGCTTCTTACAATCAATTAAAAACATGCTCATCACACCAATTGATGATTTGTTCCTAGGTAGAACTAGCGTTATTTTTCCTTATTTTTCATGGGAAGGTACTAGGACCCAGCAGCAGGCTTTTAATGTAAAGGAAAAAGGATTAATAGAGCAGATACTGAATTATGCTTTGTATGATTAGTGTCACAGTCAATACGTCAATTTAGTTTTCATATTCATGCATTTAATCATTTTCTTTTCGGCCTAGTTCCTTTATTAATCTGAACACAGGGAGCACATGCAAACTCCACACAGAAACGCCAACTGACTCAGCTGAGGTTTGAACCAGCAACCTTTTTGCTGTGAGGCATCAGCACTACCTACTGCGTCGCCCAGTTTTCATATATTCTTTACAGTTTTTCAAACAAGACTTACATTAGTCTGAGGTTTACAGTGCTCCATGTTAATTAGTCTTGTTACCAGTCAGGCCTTAAGTTAGTTGGCAGAGGCAGTTGTGCTACTGTTACTGTTACTTACTGAGATATATTATTGTTCAGAGAATTATTCTGTACTCACATTCACAGTTTTAAGTCAGTAATGAAAAACAATTTATCTAAATCACAGGTACAAATTCACCTCAGATTACTGATTGCACATATTGTGTGGCCCTGTTCACACAAACACTAATGTGGCTGTCATTTACACACAAATGCAGTGTTGGGGCACTGAAATTTAAACTTTTGAAAACTTCTGTCAGGGTAAAGATTCTCAGAAATGCCAGTGACTGTGTGTGTAGTCGTGTAGCAGGCAAAACCAGAGTTTTGGGGTGTCTGCTTTGCCATTAACTTTATGTGAAATCAGATTGTGCACTGCAATTTCTGTTGATTACATGTCCACAAGTTTACAAGTACATGCAATGTTGATAGCTAACAGGAACCAATAATAACCCTTTTTTGAGGCGTCGTCTGATTGGCCAACAGGACTTTATGGTTAGGACTATATAGACATATGTTAGCATGCACTTGATTGATTTTTTAATCTTGCATTAGTGGGTGAGATATTTTTTTTAAACAAAGAAGGTAAAACTGTACAAAAATCAAAGCATATACAGGGTACATGTTAAAACTGTGAAACAGAATATGTAGAAGTGTAGAGGCCTTATAGATTAAAACAAGTCAATCAACTATAGTTTCATTATTTAATGCATAAAGTAGCCTATTCGTAAGGCATATTTATTCTGAAAGTTTTTGGATTCAGATTAGGTTTTTTTCTTGTAAATTATAAAAATTGCATTAGTAATGTGTCTCCTTTGTCCATTTGTGATCAGATAGAGGAAAATGAACCTGAATACCTGATTGAACAGGGCTTAAATTAACTTTTTGTTAATTTATTTATTTTTTACTTAGGAATCGAAATTGGGAATCAATAAGAATCAAAACTGATCAGCGGAATCTAAATTGCAATCTTAATTGATAACATTCTGTCGATGCCCAACCCAACATCCCGCCCAGTCCTACATTTAACATATAACTGATGATACAACATATTGACTGAACATGGAACAAATATTGAAATTGTAATAATCTCCAGATTTTCCTTAATATGCACATTCGGGAAGAGCATAATACACAGTAACAAATCAATTTGCTCACATGAACTCACTCATGCATCTGTTGCAAGCGTGTTTGTCTAAGATCAATCATCGATTCTTTTTACAATCCTACCATCCTTTTAGGGCTGCACAATACATCGTTTCAACATCAATATTGCAATGGGATCATTCGCAATAGTCACAATATGAATCTTCCCAATCAGTCAAAATTATAAATTCTTTACAAACACTTTTTCAACTTATCTAGTGAAATTGTAGAATAAAATTGTAGAATTATTGCAGAAAAAAATTGCAATGTGTAATTTTTCCCATATCATGCAGCCCTGCCTCTTTTTATTAATTATACTTAAAATAAATAAAAATAAATATAAATACAGTCAGAATTATTAGTCCCCCTGAATTATTAGCACCCCTGTTTATTCCCCCCAATCTCTGCTTAACGGAGAGAAGATTTTCTCAACACATTTCTAAACATAATAGTTTTAAAAACTCCTCTCTAATAACTGATTTATTTTATCTTTGCCATGATGACAGAAAATTATATTTTACCACATATATTTTTCCAGACACTTCTATAAAGTTTAAAGGTCAACTAGGCAGGTTAGGGTAAATAGGCAAGTTATTTTATAACGATAGTTTGTTCTGTAGACTATCGAAAAAATAGCTTTAAGGGGCTAATAATTTTGTCCCTAAAATAGCATTTAAAAATTAAAAACTGCTTTTATTCTAGCCGAAATAAAACAAATAAGACTTTCTCCAGAAGAAAAAATATTATCAGACATACTGTGAAAATTTCCTTGCTCTGTTAAACATCATTTGGAAAATATTTAAAAAAGAAAAAAAATCATGGATGTATTATTTTTATTTTGTATTATTATAATATATATATATATATATATACCTTTGATTGAGAATGCTTGAGTTTTGTGTATCATTTGCAGATCCTGCCATGTTGTTGACAGACTGACTTAGTCACAGACTGAATTAGTCACATCTTGCATACAATATATATTTGAGCTTTGTGTATAATTTGCAGATCCTGTCACTGAATCATACACATCTTGCACACAAAGGCTAATTGATTGTTTGATATTTTATGTAAAGTATGGTTGAAAATGGGATTTTTTAAAAATTGACACCCCTATTGGATCACAAGCATTGTTTGAGCTCTTGAAAGGAAATGTCTTTGTTGTGTTTTTCAGGTCTCATCGCTTACACAGAGTATCTGTTTCTCCTCTGTATTTTGACAAGTGAGTTTTTGTCGACTTCTTGACACTTGTTTAACACAAACTACAGTCACAGAAAGTGTACATGTGTGTGAAGATGTGTTTCTTTCGTCTTCCAGAGCCGCATGCTGGCTTTAAAATAGCTTTCAACATGTTTGATGCGGACGGCAATCAAATGGTGGATAAGAGGGAGTTCATGGTGGTATGGCTGTTTTTCTGCCAATGTTTTATTATTAATCTGAATGTCAGCATGTGTGATAATTAAGTTCTGCTTTTTTCCCTTTAGCTGGAGGAGATATTTCGTAAGAAAAATGAAAAGAGAAAGGAGCGAGGAGGAGATGCTGAGAGTTCATCTCAGCTGGTAAGAAAAACTGGTTCTTCATTTTCAATGTATTTTATTTACAGTCCTAAGTTGCATGCGCATGTTCTTTCTACAGTATGTCATTGCATTTAAAAGGAAATAGTACACCTGAAATAAAGCTGTGGTGAAAAATCATTTGAGAAACTTAATGATTCTGCATCAGTGTTGAGATATTAAAAAAAATTGTGTTTATATTTTCTTTCTTGAATGGATTAGAGAGAGACTAGAGAAAAACTAGGCTAGTTTTCAACCACACTCTTAAAATTCATGTATTTTGGCTTTAAAGGTGCAGTATGTAAGTTTGACTCCCAGTAACGTAACGTGTTGTTAGGACATGGGGTTACAATGTAACCTGCTCACCTAATGTTTATGTTCTTAATATTTATATTGTTTGCTAATTAATAACCTTATGTGGAACTCTAAATCTGCATCTCATTTTGGAGGCTGCTACTGTCCACCGAAGGCTGCAATTCAGTCATGGATGCATACTTTGAAAGCCTTTCTGACTAAATGAATCAAGTACGCGATTTTTCACCAATACAACCCGATGTGCTGAAATATAATTGGCTAAAGTGACAGTGGGCGGGTTAAAAGAACCAAAACAAAGACAGACCTTCTGGCACATTACACACTTTGTCAAAGCAGAATATCTGACTTTTTTACTGTTTTCAGATAAACAAGTATATTCGCTTAGCATGTTTCTTAAATATCTGCAAACATATTATGGTATTTTTAATGCTTTAGAAGAGTCAAAAACTTGCATACAGTACCTTTAATGACATGAGATTACTGTAAACAAAACTCATTACGAACACACTTATAATTTGCTTAAATCTTTCCTAACTTTATTAATAATTATTTTAGGTTCAAGTGGTATTTGTAAGGAAATGGATGCAAGCAGAATATGGCCGTTTGTAAAGCATACAGCACTATTTGCTGTTAAAAACTTAGCAAAAAATTGATTCAAGAGACTTGAAAATTGCAGAATAGATTTATCAAAAGATTTTTCACAACAGGTCTAACCTGAAAATAATAATCTACTCAATTTCTTGCAAATCTAAATAGTAGTTCTGTCTTTCATCTGTGAAACACAAAAAGAGAACTTTTGATGAATGTTCACAATGCTCAGTTCCATACAGTAAAATGAATGGTACACCATAAAAATAGTTATTGTATATCATTCAGTACATTTTGAGATTTATTAAAACATTTTAATGCAATATATGAAGATGAGATTGAAATTGCTTGGCAGACATGGTGCTTATCTTTCTTAATATTTTTTGCATGATAAAGAGGCCATATTTTCTTAAAGATAAGTGTATACTTAAAAAACATACATGTTTAAATTGTGTATTTAAATTAGATGTACAAATCTAATTATGAAATATTTTATAATTTCTATATATATATATGTATATTTATTTATTATCTGTTATAAATGTCTCCTTTTTTGCTTCATGAAAGAATGTTCATGTTTTATATAAAGTGTTCAAAACAGAATGGTTATGAATTTTATTTGTTCAGTTTGTTGCATGTTCTCAGTCACATTTTTAAAATGAGAGATAATGTGCATGATTCATGCATGATGTATTTTTGTATTTGTTGTCGTAAGCGTCTGAACAAATGTACACTTGTGATAATATTTCCCCCTCAAAACTACAATGAGTCTCTTATCACTCATGCTAGGGAAATGCTGTTTTTTACAGATTGTGTTTTGGAAAGCACTTCATTGTCTTTCACAATCCATAGTAATATTTTTTGACAGATGCTGAATGCTGATTTGATTTGGACTTTTTTTTCCTGTTCTGCACGCTATCATAATCTTTGGTTTGTGAGAATGTGGAACTGTATGGATATCAAGGATCTGTGAGCAGCAATGTATGTATCTGTGGAATAATGGATGCTTATAAGCATGATTTTGATGTTGTTGTCTTTTTTGCATGTTGGTTAAAGGCATCGTTCCACAAAAAACTAAAATTCTGCCATCATTTACTATCCTTCCACTGGTTCCAAACCTGTTGATATTTTTTTCTAATGAATAAAAAAAATATATATATATATTTTGAAGACTTTTGGAAATCAGAAACCATTAGCTATGTTTCCATCCACCTATTTTTATGTGCATTTTTGATAAATTTTGAAAATGTGCATAAAAAACATATGCGCACAACTGAGTACCATAAACTTTTTATACAAAAAGAGAAAAGATGCGCATAAACTACAATGGAAACAGTTTTACCGAACAATTTCCAGTATGCACATTAAAAAAAGTCATGTGATTTTGTTATAAGATCATGTAATAATAAAAATTTGTGCATGGACAAACCAGCAGGTTGAGCACATCGTAAAACATCTTGTTTTTGTCATTCTAAAACACCTTAAGCATTTCAGTAGTAGTGTTATTATACTATTAATGACCTCCAGAACTCTCAAGAGCGTCTGTGCGCCGCGTCTTATGCTTTTAAATGCCACCACGCGTATAGTGCATATCGGCATACTGCTTTCTAGGGTGTAATTTAATTTAAAAAAACTCAAGCAGCTTCAGCTACCACAGCAAATCCAGTTTTTACTGTTGATATTTGGCGGCAGTTAGTCAGGAAGTGACGATTTTATTCTCTTTGACTCATTGGATGGAAACACTGCTTGTCTTATATGCGATATTCCAGTTATGCACATAAATTTAATTAATTAAATTTTTTTTTTTTACTATGGATGTCAATGACTACTGGATCATGTTTGTTTGTCAGATTATCTGTTTTCTACTATTTATTTTTTTTATTGTTTGCCTGTGATATCAGAAAACATAACAGTATCACATCACATACTAATGTTACAGAGTGTTAGGAAATTAAAGGACAAGATGTAAAAATTAATAACAAAAAGGAAAAACAAATGGGAAATCGAAACAATAAGCATTCCTTTGAAGCAATACTTCAATAAGAATGAAGTAGGATTGAAAGAAAATCACAAGCAGTCCTGCTTTTTTATGATATCTCTCAACCAGGGGTGCGTTTCTCAAACAATGACATAACTCACAACAGAACTACCATAGTACAATGCATCTTTTGGGAATAGAACGATGCAGTGATGAGTGTTTGCCAATACCGTAGTTGCTTTGTCGCAGATTTATTGTTTACACCACTTTAGTTATAACGTAAAATGTCTATAATGAAGCTCTAAATAGGGCGGAATAACATCTTCTTTAGAGAAAAACCCATATTTTTTTGTGCAAATTATAAAGTTTTACACACACGCATTTAAAACAAATCCAATATTAGTTTTGGCAAAAACATGCACTCATTTCCCATATTAATTAAAGTATATGTAAATAGAACATATATTTAATTTATTATTATAATAGAAATTATTATTATTATTATTATTATTATTATTAAGATATTGTTTTTTAATTTAATTTATTTTTTTTTCATTAGATTTATTTATTGAAATAAATTTAATTTTTTACAACTTTGACACATTCGAACCACTGCAGAAATGTTCTAAACAACAGGCCAATGTCATATACAGTACAGATACATTTCTTAATAAATAACCTACTGTAAATTTAAAGCATTATCGTATGCTATATATTTTTGCTTTGGAGCTATACCAAAAATTCTGCTATAAGTCACCTATAGCTTTCGTCATAAGTACGCAATTGTCAATATAAAGATTGCTTAAACTGAACTGTAAAAATACTTTGAAAGTAAATAACACACATAAGAGAGATGGCTTAATGATTATTTTTTAAAATCATTTCAAGTTTTAATGTTGGAACTTTTGAAAGGAATAGGGCATAGGGGGGATATTGGGGAATAATACACAACCAGGAACTGCTTCTAACTACAGCTCTTGAGGTGTAGCTGCAAGCCTAAAAGTTTGCGTTGCAGTTTGTGAATGTTCGTTGGAACGATGGTTTTGGGAAACACAGAACTTGTGACCTTATTTGGCTAACGGTTGTTTTTCGAAAACGCACCCCATATGTTTTCAGATTTTTGATGTTTATCATAGGTTAGCTTGTCAAATGGCAACCGTGTAGTGATTAGTAATTATCCACATATTAAAGGAGGGAGCTTGTGGTATTAATGCATTTTTATCCAAGTACATCAAGATAGCAAACAGCTGTCTTGCAGAAAATTGCACAAAAAAACAAAAACAAAAAAAATAACCCATTAAATTTTGGAACTACTCGAGGATAAGAAAATGATGAGTGAATTTTTTATTTTTGGGTGAACTGTGTCTATGAATGTGGTTGGTGCTTGATTGCACTTGTTTAGTTCTGGTCAGCATGCGTGTCGTAAATACTAATGTTTATAGATCTTCACTTTGATTAGTGCTGAGTACACCAGAAAGGTTGCATCCACACTCGACTCTTTTCAACACAGTCTGGGCTAGATATTCTTTTACATGCTGAAATGTTTGGATAGGGCGTAAAAGAGTGACCCTCACGCTTGGCTCACCTCCAGAGAAGAGAGACAATGCAGCTCTGATGGGACTCGGTCTGACATGCAGCTCTATTGTCAAGGAGAGCAGAAAAATCATCCAGAGGCTAGAACAGATGATTTATGTTGCTTGTCTACTGTCAGGAGCCAAGGAATGGTCTCACAGAATCTCGTTAAAAGGCCCTCACCTGAAGAATGGCAGTTCTCCCTGGACCCCCATGTTTTATTTTTACAGTTGCTTGAAGAGTGGTATTTGGGTTTGGGTTACTTCTTGACTTGAGGAGCTTTGTGTCATGTAGAGTTACACCTGAGGAATGAGACTGTCTCAGCACCAAACATGAGAGATCAGGAGCTCTTTCAGCTCTCGAAAGGCAGTGCTTTTCTTTGTCAAACACAAGAAAGTAGTGCTGATTTTAAAATAATACAAAACTGATTATAGTCCACAGTTATTTTCATCTCAAGCTCATTGAAAACCCATGCCACAGCCTACATTTTTGCGAATTCTAAAATATGTTGCTGTGTGTACGTTTTGTCACACATTTTAGATGACAAATCCACTAGAGGGTGCTGTCTACATTTTTGCAAGCAGAAAAACTTTTTTTTGCATGTTTTAGATGCACATGCTTCTTGTATATGTCAACGTGAAGGTTAAGGAGTGCATCCTTGACAAAAAGTCCATAAATGAGTCTACAATGGTGGATTCACACCAGACACAGATGAAGTGTCAAGCGCGAGTGATTTACATGTTAAGTCAATGCAAATTCGCGAATAAACATCCTGTGTCGATATTCGCGAAAATCGCATAATTTGCACTTCCTCATTGGTGTAAATATTGAATAATGAAGCGGCACAAATGTATCATTTTTCATGTTTGACACCCCTAGCGTGCAAATTGCTCAAATGCTTGAGTTGAAAAATCGGAACTTTACCAGATTAGAACCAATCAGCAGCTAGCTCTTGTAGAGGCATGATTATGATGTTGTGCTTGGTGTTGATGTACCGAATGGAGTGAATTTGACACGCGAATTAAGCAAGTAAACTCAAAATACAAACGCATCTATTTACTGGTGTGATTAACAGCATTAGACTATTTAAAATGTTTTGCTTGCAGAAAATCACTTGTAACTTAATATAATGCATATAGAAATGTTTTAACTGATGAAATGTTAAGAATCAACAAACGTTTGCCACAGTTCATGGCTTCTCTGTGTCCATTTTATGAAGATAATGTATATTTATCATGCGATGCTAATCCAGATTTATCACAGTATAAATGTATTGTTTTTTGTGAGAAAGTAAGTGAGAGCTAGGAGATAAAAATATAAATATAAATAAATATATAATTGTAAACAGATAAAGTCAGAATTAATAAATTATTAAATTTTAATTATTTAATTTTTTACACAATTTCTGTTTAATGGAAAGAACATTTTTATCCAACACATTTCTAAACATAATAGTTTTAATTACTCATTTTTAGTAACTGATTTATTTTATCTTTGCCTTGACGACAGTGCATAATGCATTTCAAAATGTTAGTATTCAGTTTAAAGTGCAATTTAATGGCTAGGTTAATTAGGTTAACTAGGCAAGACCTATATATATATATATATATATATATATATATATATATATATATATATATATATATATATATATATATATATATATTGAATACATAAATACAGTAAAAATTGCCTTGCTCCATTAAATATCACTTAAAAATATTTAAAAAGAATCCATATTTCATAGGAGGACTAATCACTTTGCCTTCATAGTGATTAGTGATTCTTTTTTTTTCTGTGGCAGAAACATGCTCAGTAGATAGTAACGGTGTTTTATTTCTTGGTTTGAAATATTAGTGTATACCTTTTTTTAATCTTTTATTTTTTTCATCTTTTTATTTTTAGTATTTTATTTTATTAATCTATACATTTTTCTAAAGAAATGCTAAAAACTTTAAGAACCAGTTTTATTGACTAGAGTAAGAAATTGATTCTTATCTATGACATTATGTTGCATTTCTTGAGCTGGCTTTTGCATGTGGATTAGTCTTTCACTGTGTTGTCATATCTTGGTGATTTTGTTAAGCCTTTCATTCTCCCCACCTCTGACATGCAGGTACTTAAAAAAGAGCAGCCTCAGTGTGAGCCCAGAAGTTTCTGGGATGTTCTAAAGCTTGGTGCAAGAATAGTTCTCTTTTCAGATCTGATGGAGGTACAAGTATCCTTGAGCTCACGTTTCCCATTTAAATCCCATGATTCCTTTGACCATTCCCTGTCTCTCATCCCACGTGAGACTCTGCCCATTATTTGGTATTTGTTCTTTTTGGGGTTTTGCCATTTTCATTCTTTAACATCACTACACTGTTTAATTACTCTTATGGAAATCTTAACAGAATTAAATATTTATGGAAGTCATACAGCAGAAGATTATGCTTTGCTTTGTCTTTTGGCTTAATTTTGACAATGTAAAAAGTAAAACTGTAAAAAATGGATTTAACAATTATTAACCTATTTAGATGCTTGTCTGTTTCAAAAATCATTTCAGCTCATATTTTAAGACCAATTTATGAAAATAATAGAAAAATAAATGCCATCACATATTGTATTTTTTATTTTTTTTATTTTTTGTAAAGATATGTACATGCAAAGGAACGTTGAGGTACTCCTGTATGCAAACTTTTGCATGGGCATGAAATGATGTTGGCTGCTCAATCATGTCTTTGCTCATTTAAATGGATTAACATTATCTGCATACATATATGTTACTTTTTAAAATCTTGCTCACATTCATGTTGTTCCAAACCATTCACTTACTTTCTTTCATTGCTATGTGTTGGAGCAGGGAAAAGGAGATGCAAAAAGTATCATAAAATATATATTGAACATGTTAATAAGATCTAGAATAACATGAATGTGCAAAATGAGAACAGACTTTTTATTATACCCTTATCAACGTTTGTATTATGCAAAAAATAAAAAATAATATAGTATAAGTATAAGCTAAGATCTGATTTGAATATGTATAATATTCAATATATATAAATATTTGATTTTTTTTTCAAATTTGATCTAAATCATCTTCATTCAATCATTCAATCTATTTATTTAAAAAAACACATTTATTTGTTTGTGTCTGTGTTGTTTGTTTACATTGTGATATGTGTATGGCTGCACATTTATATCCTTATTAAGCTATTTTGGTGTAAACTGTGGCAAATTGTGCTTCTTTGTTCATTTTTTTAAAGCTGAATAATGTGCTTTCTCAATTTGCTTTCACAGCACGTTCCAGAAAATGTCACAGACACAACTCTGCTGGTGCATTTCTTTGGAAGAAAGGGCAAAAGTGAACTTAACTTTGATGACTTCTACAGGTGAGAGACAGGATATCATGAATGTGGTTTTAAGTCCAGGCTTCTTCCCAAAATGAAAACTCAGTCATCGTTTACATGGGTCATTTCAATCACTAAATTTTAATTAAATAATGTGATCATGTCTCTTCAGAAGACTTGTATAAGAAGCTCAGTTCAAATGGATTTATGATGAATGTTGAAATGTCACGTTTTTTATGATCGTCATTTCTTAAAGGGATATGAAAGAAAATTTGCTTTGTGCACAAAAATTGTTCGTTTTTTTTAGTAGAATAATAAAGAAGACATTTAGCCGAAATTGTGAGCCTTGAGCATTCATACAAACCAGATCAATGACTACCAGTGCTTTAAGAATTAAAATAACTTACAGGCAAAAAAAAATCAATACATATGGCCTGTGTTGATTCATTGAGGTCTTATGAAATGATTGGTCTGTGCATGAAACTGAGAATGATTTACAATATTATCATCTTTAATCCACAGCATCAGCAAACATTCGTATAAGTGATTTCACAACAGCCTAAAATTTAGTGTTTTGTGAAAGCTCTCAGGATTGTTTACTAAGTACATAGTACAAATAAATGTAAATAATGCATTTTGGGCTGATTACTTCATAATACCTATCACCAAGAGCCAGTGATGCTTATTTATTATTTTTGCCTGTACTCTTCCTGACAAACGTCTCCTTGCCTATCCAAGTTTTAGGAAGAGCAAATAAAAAGTTGACTTCTAATTGATCATTTGGTATCAGAAGTGGCTTAAATAAAAGGCAAAGGCCTCTAAATTAGGTTCATTTTACCAAAATAAAATATGATCATGCCTTGATTTTTAATTCTTTAATTAGGACAGAAAGGTCTGACTTTGCTAAGACAAAAGTCTTGTCACTTAACAGAAATAAGGTACAGTATAGAATATAAAGTCATGGTGCAGTGGAAAAGATTTAATATTGTGTATGACTCCTATGAGCTTAGAGGACTGCATCTACACATCTCTGCAGTGACATAGAATAACTTATTAATGTCATCTGGAATGGAAAGCGTTCTTGCAGGACTCCCAGAGTTCATCAAGATTTTTTTTTAATTCATCTTCAATGCCTCCTCCTTCATCTTACCCCAGACATGCTCAATAATGTTAATGTCTGATGACTGGGCTGGCCAATCCTGGAGCACCTTGACCTTCTTTGCTTTCAGGAACTTTGATTTCGAGGCTGAAGTATGAGAAGGAGCGCTATCCTGCTGAAGAATTTGCTGTCTTGATATCTCAAGATGTTGATGTTGTAATCCACTCTGCAGATCTCTCGCATGACCCCATACTGATTGTAACCCCAATCCATGATTCTTCCTTCACCAAACTTGACTGATATCTGTGAGACTCTTGGCTCCATGTGGGTTCCAATAGGTCTTCTGCAGTACTTGTGATGATTGGGATGCAGTTCAACAGATAATTAATAAAAATAAATCCATATTCTGCCACTTTTCCAAATGATTAACTAGAAGCCAAGTTATTACTTGTTGCTCTTACAACTGGAATCAACAACAATACTTTTGTCAGATAGTGTATATGTTTTTTTTACTATTAAAATGCATAAAATGTATGAATCACCATCACATTTTCAGCAGAAAAAAGAAAAGAATAAGCTAATGTTTGTTTTTGGGTGAGCTACCACTTTAAGTTTAAATTATTTGTACCATGATCTCAAAGTAAGATTAATTCTGAATGTTATTACGGCTTAAGGATTTCACACACCCCATTAGCATCTTTAAGGATGTATTTGGACGCTCCAGTCATTTAGTCTAGTGTCCTGCTGAGCGAGTGATGGCTTCTCCTCTTAACACTCGGTCTGTTCACGCTCTGTCGGCAGATTCATGGACAACCTGCAGACAGAAGTGCTTGAGATTGAGTTCCTCAGTTATTCCAAGGGAATGACCACCATCAGCGAGGAGGACTTCGATCGGATCCTGCTGCGCTACACCACTGTGGAGAACATCACAGGCTACCTGGAGAACGTGCATCAAAGCATACCTGACGAGAAGGTGAAACTTCTGGACAAACACACATACATTCACTCAATCATCACTCAGGAAAATCAGGATGCTTTACAAACAAACACAACAGATACCATTTGCATAGGGTGACACATTCAAACAGGTTGCTATTTTTGTTCAACCTCCAGGGGTTATTATTAACTTTTTTACTCACCATGCAATGTGGCACTGAGGTTTTCCAATATTATTTGATTCATTGACTATACAATAATTTGACTATTGCATGCACAAACTTCAGTTCAGTTCGATTAAGCACTATTAAAACTGCATAGCATTGACTATGCAATTTCCCTCAAGCATACACTGGCACAAGTGGTTTTCGCAATACTGGTTTATTTGATGGCTTTTTCCCCAAATCCACCATGTAAGGTAAACAAATACAAAACAAATGAACCTAATACAAACCAAAACATACGTAAACAAACAAACAAACCTTAGAAACTGTAAACACAAAATACAATATAAAGCAAAATACCTCATTGGCTGCATGCTATATTAAAAGAAAGTGTCTTGAATTCTCCTTAAATCTCTTGTTCAAGTCCTTTGCAATTAATACATCTATTGACACACACATGCAAACAGTTTTTTTGCCGCTTGCTTGTTAACAGTAAGTCAGAACCTTTCGGGGAGTAAACCATTACGTACAACCGTTGAGATTTCAAAATAATAGTCCCAAACTAAATAACAAAATTAAATTCACAAATAATAAATGTAACTTATTTTCTTAACAACCAAAATAGTCTTAGGAAACATATACAGCTTATAGACATAATATACAACATTACAGCAAACAGTTACATGCTATAGTATACTGTATATAAAATCACACATTTCAAATGGTTAAAATTATATTCCTTTCAACATTGTGTGCATTCATGATAATTGGTAACACTTTAATTTTAATAAGGTTGCATTAGTTAAATGTTAGCTCAATACAATTAGATCAATACAGTTATTATAGTATTTATTCACAGTTGGTCACGTTAGTTAATAGAAAAAGGTAGCTGTTCATTGTAAGTTCATGTTAACATACAGTGCATTAACAAATGTCAATAATCAAGAACTTGGACGTTAATGATGCATTAGTAAATGCTGAACTATGAATAATAATTGCTGTACAAGTTTTGTTCATTATTAGTTCATTTTAGTAAATACATGAACTAATAAATCCTTGTTGTAAAGTATGACTGAAGGTTTCATAGAAATGTTCTATGAACATTATGATAATGTTCTGAGAATGATAAGAAAAAACAGATAATGTTAAACAAATGTTTTATTATTCTTATATCTTAAAAGAACCTTGCTACAATGTTGACTGCACATTACCTGTTAGCTTGGAAATGCAAAATGGAAAAAATGTAGGTAGACTAATATAAACTTAATATATTAATCTAATCAATTTGACAGATGCTTTTTGCTTTCTCTTATCCAGACAATAGTGCAAAAATGCTAATTAAATTTATGTACAAAACTAGAATATCGCATAAAAGACGTGCAAAAAAGCAGCGTTTCCATTTTACGAGTCAAAGAGAACAAAATCGTCACTTCCTGATTAACTGGCGGCAAATATTAACAGTAAAAAAGGGAATTTGCTGCAGTAGGGAAGCTGCATCAATCTTTTCTTTATTTATTAAATGACTTGCATCTCAGAAGACGTTGCCAACACGCAATGAACGCCTGGTGGTGTTTGAAGCCATGAGACTCAGAGCGCAGACGCTCTTGACAGTTTTTGAGGTAATTAACAATATAAAAACACTAATACTGAAATAGGTAAGGCTTCAAAATTTATGTGCATCTAGGCACTTCCATCAACTGATTTTTAATGCGCATGTCCAAAATGCATAAAAATAGGTGGATGGAAACATAGTTAATGAATCTAAATTCACATCACAGCATACCAAAAATCTCCAACGAGACTGGAGGATATTTATAATCTGAGCAATGTTGGTGTCTTTTTTTTCATCTATGGGATGTTTCCGTTTCTGCACACTGACCCTCACATTATGAGGTTAGAGTGTTTTCTTCTGCTTGAGAAGGCTGTTGGTGGATGCCCATTGATATAGAAGTGCTTCTCATTCTTATGTTAAAGGATAAAGCAATACAGCTTAACTTGTAAAACCACCAAGCGTCACATATTACTCAGTAGATCATTTGTAAAACTGCTGTTTTTGGTTGCAAGGGAGGCTTCAGAAAAAGACGTGGGTCTAGTGGCTGGAAACGGATGAGTGCAAATCAAAAGGGCCGCTGTTTGGGTAACTTGCTAGCACTGATATATTTTGGACACATCCCCTTTTGTTTTTATGTATGCGAGTATCAGGTTAATCTTCTTTAGAAGAGCTGACAAGCTAGCCAACCTCTCCTTAAACAAAACAACCTAAAGGTGATGACAGCTCAGATTGTGTGGATCGGCTGCAGAAGCAGGAGAGACTGTTTGACTTTGCTGGTTTCCAACTTTGAATCTGTTATCACTCTTCAAGGTCCCACAGACACTTAAGGTGTCTTCTTGCTTAAAAAGTGAAGTGTGTTGTTTTTTAGGTGGATGCTTTGATTACCACAGGAATTATTTAAAGATTATCTCCAGGCTTTGCCCTAATTATTTTTCTGTAAAGCTCAGACTCTGATCTTTAACACTGTATTTCTTTTCTAGGGAATCACTTTTGAAGAGTTTAGGTCCTTCTTTCAGTTCCTCAACAACTTAGAGGACTTTGCCATTGCCATGCAAATGTACAACTTTGCAAATCGCCCAATTGGACAAGGTAAACACGCAAACGCTTCCACAGCTGCTCACAGTGATCTCTAGCTTCTTATTTTAATATTAACCATTATTAAAATTCTGACATCATTTACTCACCCTTCACTTGGTACATAGCTGTTTGTACAAACAAAAAAAATGTCTTAAAGAATATTGGAGACCTGTAAACATTGACTTTCATAGTATGAAAAAATATTTTGTAAGTCAACTGTTACATGTTTCCAACATTTTTTAGTATATATCCTTCTGTGTTCAACAGAATAAAACAAACACTAATACTAATAGGCAACAAGAGAATAGTGAGAAAACGATGACAATGTTAGTTTTTGGGGGAAAATTGTAACCGTGACTTTAAATCCAATATATGTTTTTAATCTTCGCAAACAAATAAAGGTCTAATTTGCCTTTATTTTGTTTGATTATCTTTTCATCAATGAGTCACATAATTGCATGCAAAATGAATGAAAAATTAATAAAGTAAAATGCTAAGTGTCTCAGTAAGTATTTTCTCCAAAATTGTATTAGTCATTCGATTGTTTGAAGTACTTCATTCTGTAAACTGAAGTGGCTTTTTATCATGGAAAGAGGTGACATTTTTTAATACTGTAATAAAGGCCATTTTGACATACTGTATAAACCATATTGATGCTCTCATGCATTGATTCTCTTCATATTTCATTATTCAAACATTTCTTATAAATGGTTTCCTGGAAAGTCATAAGTTTATTTTACTACTTTATTTAGTGTGAGTGCGCCCTCCAGTGTTGAGTGTGAATGAAATCAATTATAAATTAAAATTTGATCCAATAAGTGCAATGAAGAGTACATGGAGCAGTTTATTTTAAGTGTTGTAGAAATCTAGACAATGCATTTTCCATTAAGCCTGGTTTGCATGTAATTCAATGAAACTCAATTCTTCAGCAACTCATGAGGTTGATGTTTGTTTTTCTCAGATGAGTTTGGTCGTGCTGTTTATGTGGCCACAGGCCTGAAACTGTCCCGACACCTTGTGAACACCATTTTCAAGATCTTTGATGTGGACCATGATGACCAGCTGAGCTACAAGGAGTTTATTGGGATAATGAAGGACCGACTGCATCGTGGCTCTTGGGTAAATAAGGCAGATGCTTTTCTCTAAAGTTATTTATATGCACTTTATACAATTTTTAAACACAAGCCAAAGTTTTTAGAGTCCTTAAAGATATTTTTGAGTTTCAAGGTGGTCTATAAATCTGCATTGAGGTTTGTAATAGACACAGAATTTGTGTTTGTAGTTAGAAGAGTGTTTCCCAATAAATTTGGATGCAACACAAAAAAATTGTTCTAAAAATTGGGAATTCTAAGGTTTTAAAATACATAAATTAATTAATTCATATTTTTATTGACTAATTATTCATTTTAAATTCTTTATCACATATAAAATTATAAATTTTTTATACTATTTTCATTTTAAAGATTTTTTTGAGATGTTCTAATCTACTCACAATTAAATCTATGCAATCATGGCTTCCACAAAAACATTGATATTAATAAAAAAATGTTTCCTGTGGAGCAAATGATTCATGAAGGATATTGTCACCAAAGGCTGGAGTAATAATGTTGCACGTTTTACAATAATACTGTTATACACAAAAAAAGACGTTTGCTGTTTGTTCAAACTACTTATGTAAAATGAGCTGAAACAACTCAATTTCTTTGTTTTAAATATTTAATATTTAAATATAAACCCTAAATATTTTATTATCTTAATTTGTATCTGTACTTAATCAAATAAATGAAACATTTGTAAGAACATCCTTTATAATCATAAAAGAAACTTACAAACCATTTTTTTGTATACAAACTTATATAATATATGCATAACTATATAATTAATTGCCATGTATTCCAAGTGAATTCATTCATGTGTGTGCACTTTTGCTGACATCTAGTGGTCTTTTACTATTTATTCACAATGCTAGTAGCCTCATAGACTAGCACTGTTCATTAATATTTTTTTTTAAGATATCCATCTATTTAACACATAAAAGAATTCTAATTTCATATTATCATTGTGAACTCAGGGATATAAGGGTGAAGAGAGATTCACATCCTTTAAAGGCTGTATGAAGAAGGAACTCAGTGCTAAATAGGTAAGTTCAGAGCTAAATAAAAGTCTATTAGTCTTCTATTTTGCAAAGTTTTAGGGTTAGCTTGATGATGTTGTTCTGGAGAATTGAGAACGAATGATACCGAACTTCACCTGTAGCGCTGCTCAGCATTCAGACGAAACTCTTTCTCCAGCATCAGATTACTCTGTAAAATTAATGTCTGCTTCCAGAGATACAAGATACTAGTCTAACACAGTGTATAAAAAAACTTCTTAACCCAGTAAAACAATACACTGGCCAACCCTCAGAAGACATTACTCCAGAAAACACAGAGGAAGAAGGAACAGTCTGTGTATGACTGAAAATATGCCATCTGATTGACATAAACGGTGTATTGCATTTTTGTATTTTATTTGTATCAATAGGGCAGTTGTTAAATTCATTTATGATATAAATCATTGTTTTATATGCAATTAAATGATGATTTAGTATATGCAGTTTTTTTATGTATATTTATATTTTAAAATGTTCATCTTTTATTTATTTTTGCACTTTTGCTTTTTTAAATGTTTATTTTTATGTTTAAAATTAGGTACAACTCTTATGCTATCTGACCTGCATTGGATTAAGTGTCAACTGCAAAAAATCACATCCAAATCACTCAAGTATAAGAATGAAAATATGCAGTCTGAGTAACATCTATTCAGTGTATTGCATTTTTATATTTGAAGTTTATTACAAAAGTAGTAAGGACAATTGTTTACTTAATTTATGATATAGATAAATCATTGTTTTATATGCATTTCGATGTTATTTTAATATGCATTGTTTTTTCTAAATGTATTTTTATATTTAAAAATTGTCATGTTTTAGTTTTTTTGTGTTTTTGCTATTTTTAATACTTTATCTTTTATGTTAAAATGTTAGATACAACTTTTATGTGATCTGACTTTCATTGGATTTAGTGTAAGCTGCAAAAACTCACATGGAAAAATAAGTATTAGAATGAAAATATGCCGTTTGAATGACATAAACGAGTGTATTGCATTTTTATATTTTATTTTTAGTACAAAAGTAGTAAGAACAGGTGTTAAATTAATTTATGATTTAGATAAATAATTTTTTAAAATATGCTATGCAATGTTGATTTAGTATACGATTATATAACTTAGTATGTCAAAAGACATTATCCCAGAAAACACAGAGGAAGAAGGAACAGTCAGTATATGAATGAAAATATACAGTCTGAATGACGTACTGTAAATGGCTGTATTGCATTTTTGTTTTATTTTGATTAATAGGGCAGTTGTCAAATTCATTTATGATATAAATCATTGTTTTATATCATAATCATGTAGATATTTTTTTAATTATACACACTTTTTTGTAAATGTATATTAATATTTAAAAATGTTCATGTTTTAGTTATTTTTTTTTTTGTATATTTTATTGTTTATTTTTTATATTCAAAATGTTATACTATCTTACTTTATTTACTGGATTTTATTCTACTGGATTTAGTGTCAACTGCAAAAGTCACATGAAAATTACACAAGTATAAGAATGAAAATATGCAGTCTGAGTGACATAAATGGGTGTATTTCATTTTTATATTTTATTTTTATTTAGAAGTAGTAAGGGCAGTTGATAATATTTAGTTATGATATAGATAAATTATTGTTTTACATTCAATTTAAAGTTGATTTGGTATACATTGTTTTATGTAAATGTATATTTTTATATTAAAATTTTTATGTTTTTGTTATTTTGAAATGTTTATTTTATATGTACAAAAATTAGGTACCACTTTTATGCTATCTAACTTGCATTGGATATAGTGCCAACTGCAAATATCACATGAAAATCACACAAGTATAAGAACGTAATTATGTCTGAATGGCGTAATTGGGTGTGTTTAATTTTTATATTTTATATTTATTAAGAGGTAGTAAGGGCAGTTGTTCATTTCATTTATTATATAGATAAATCATTGTTTTATATGCATTTCAATGTTGATTCAGTATACCCTTTTTTGTAAATGCATTTTATATTTAAAAAATGTTCAAGTTTTAGATATTTTGTATTTTTGTTATTTAATTTATTGTTTATGCACAAAAATTTGGTACAACTTTTATGCGATCTGACTTGTATTGGATTTGGTGTCAACTGCAAGAAAACCACTCAAATACAAGAAAAGAATTCAAACTTTTAATTGAATAGGTTATTGATAATTATTTGGGGATGATGGGGATCTTCTCTGTATGGGAATGGGTGAGAATAAGTAAATGAGTGTAAAATATATATATTGTTGTGGCTTTTTAAATGTTTGATTTCCTGTCAAATTTATTTATACATCAAGTGATAAAAATGTACCCCAACAATGGACATGAAATGACTTCAGACATAAGCAATTTATAAATACACACATTTAAATGCACACATAAAATTAGTGTGACGATCACAAACACATATTTACTTTACATCAGTTTTGACATTTTATATGCATGTTCATAATCTTAAATTATACATACAGTTTAAGTCCCTATTAGCCCTCCTGAATTATTAGCCCCTCTATTTCCCCCAATTTCTGTTTAAGGGAAAGAAGATTTATTCAACACATTTCTTAACATAGTAGTTTTAATAACTCATTTCTAATAACTGATTTCTTTTATCTTACATACTATTTTACTAGATAAGATACTAGTATTCAGCTTAAAGTGACATTTAATCACTTTATGCAAGTCATTGTATAATAATAGTTTTTTTCTGCAAACAATTGGAAAAAATATTGACCTTAAATAGTTTTTTAAAAAAAATCAAAACTGCTTTTATATCCGAAATAAAACAAATAAGACTTTCTCAGAAGAAAAATTACTATAGGAAATACTGTGAAAAAAAAAACTTGCTCTGTTAAACATCATTTGGGCAAAATTTGAAAAAGAAAAAAAATCACTGGGGGGCTCATAATTTTGACCTCAACTCTATTTAAAAAGTTGGAGAATTTCAGACAGTTTAAAAATAATATAAGGGTTAAACATGTAGCTTTATTCATTTTCAACATTATAATGCTGTTCTTCTGCATGTTATTTGATTTGTGCAGATAAACGTCCCGCTGAGGGTTTCTCTTCAGCCTCACGTCGCAGGGAAGAAATCTGACGTTGGATTAAAGTTCTCAGTGACTCAAATGCAATTATCTACCTGACCTGTGTCAAACTCTGTAAGATACAAGTACTGCCGCTTTTAGATTAACACATGCTACCTCTCTGGACTATAGTTACAGCTTTGTCACTTGGCAGGCACTTTCTAAACTCTATAAAAGCCATTAACCGAAAGGATAACACTTTAATGAAATAGCCATGATACTTTTATTAATCAGAGTTATTTATTGACAGTCTTTTAAATTTGAATGGGTCCAGGGCCCACTTTTTGGGATAAAATAATTATTTTCAGAGTAACGTCTTTATTAATGATTTATTACTTTATAAATATAACATTTATTAATTTTAACGCAAGACACTGCAGGGAAAAAAAATTTTGAAAGCTTTTTTTCAGTCTAATGTAAAGTAAACGCACAAAAAAATTTGTAGAATTCTGTTATACACATTTTTTACCCGTATGAAGCCATACATATATTTATTTCAGCAGCTCTTACTAGACTTCACAGTTTAATTTATAGCTGTATTTTCTAATAAAATTTTTATTTACTTATTTATTTATTTATTATTTTATTTTATTTATTTCTAACATGTTCCCAGTATTTAAAGTGATAAAACATTGGACTAACATGGCAAAAACACAAGACAAATGCCAATTTTGCACCTGAACCACTGAACATTCAGTGTTTTCAGGATTTTTGTATACAAACTAGCACACAAATGATCCCTCATTTGCATATTTAAACATTTTAGAAAGCTTTTAATACAAAACGTTATTTTTTTAAAGTAGAAAAATACTTGTAATCATGGTAATACCTATTAGTTAAGTTTTTACCCTAATGTACACCTGCAGCGTCTTGCTTTAAACAAACTAACTCAAGTGTGAAACGGATAATGGTGTGTACAGTTATTTATTTCTATTTATTAATCTATTTTGTGTAAGGAAAACGTTCTTTTGGGGTTTTGATGCCCCTTTATTGCTGTATTGGCATTGTATTGTTGTATTTGCTACTCTAGGAGTTATAAGCCAGATAATCTTTGGTTACAACGAGCACATTGCTAACATAGTTTGTGTGAGTTTGTCCAGTGTCCAGCAGCGGATCAGCTTACAGCGGCTCTGACAGTGCTGAGTGCACAGAGCAATAATGAGACCTCAGTAATCTCACAATGCGCTACACATATAGATCCCTCTCTCCAGCTCACAAACTCCTTTAACTAATATCCTGTGTGTGAATAGCGGAAAATGAATATCATGTCATATAGGGATTTAATATCTGTTAATCATATTGTAAGGACTGAATGATTATTCTTCAACGTACTGGATAAAAAAATTAAAAAGTATTGCAACATTTATTGGGTAATTCTGACTTTATGGAGAGAAAAAAGACGGAATCACAAAACAAATAAACTACAATTTTTATTTATTTATTTATTTTTTATCAGTAAACAGATAATGTTGTGCCATTTAATTAAGTACTTTCCTCCTAAATGTTTTACGTCTGAAAGAGAAACTCCTTCAAATGCATTTTATACACAGCCACAAAAATACATAAACACATGCAATCCAGAGAACAAATATTGTAAGAAATTAACTAAAGAAATTCTGAAATAACATTGCAGTTTACAATTTCCAGAAAAAAAAAAAACTTTAAAAATGTTTTGTTTCTGAGAAGAAACGTCCAAATTGTGAGTTGAAAAGTGGCAGTTACTATACTGAGTATCATGTAGTAAAATAGCAAATTTCATTGATTATATTTCTTATAATGTATATTGACTGTGCTTGAGACTTTTCATTGACTTTCTTGTTTATTCTTAAGGGTGATTAAGGTTAAAGTTCCACACAATACACTGTATTATTTGTTGTCATTGCCTTGAGCAAAAAGCAACGGGAGATCAGAGCTTGTTGTTAATTTACCCTAGTAAATATATACATCATTTTTAGGTAACATCTGATTATTGATTAAATCTGAGATTATATCTGATATATTTTAAAGCCTAGAATTCTTGACTTTTAAATATGTCCCTTTTTTAAACCAGGAAATATGATGCATTTCATTAAACATACAAGCAGGCAGATGTTCTAATGAAATGTTACATATTTTATTCTTCTAATTTCATTCACATTCAAGACTGAAATAACAAGCATTTGATCTTCTACTACAATATAATATTGACTTCTGTGAAAACTGTGACAAGCTCTAGTCTTTCCCACAGAATACACTGTAGACTCTTTTAGATGTTTATTTCATTAGCTTTTATCTGGAGCTGAAGACCATCTGTTTACATATTACAAGTTGTCATAAGTGAAGTAGTTTTTATGCTTTTGTATTTATATTGCTTAGTTTCAATAAACTAGGATACAAAGGCAACACAGTCATTTGTGTCATTTATAAGGATCTGTGCTTGCTTTCAAGGTATGATTTTAAGAAAAAAAGACTTTTGGGGCCCAAAAGTTTTAAAATGCAGTTATTATATGTTTTTCATTTGTTATTATTAATATTTTGCTGTTTTTTCTTACATCATTCAATCTCCTTTTCTACATCTTTCTACAGATAACATGTAAAGCACTTTGTAAAACTTTTGAAATGGTTTGTTTTCCTAAGATTAATTCACAACTAAAAATAATAAATGAACTATTTTGTTTTTTAAACTAAACCTTTACTGATTTGACTGCTGGACTGGTCCATGATTAAAGGTGGGGGACACATTTGCGCAGCTGTAATAATTACATCCAAATTAAAATTTGTAGACCCTCACTGTACAAAATATGATATAAAACAATCTTATAAATGATTTATAGGTATCATTTATTTTCCTCAGATTTCCTGGGGCCCTAGCAGCTGCTTAGCCTATTGGTTAAATCTACTCCTGATTAGGTTCCACATCAGTTTGACCTCTCGATATTTAGTCATTAGAAATAAGATATTTTTTTATATTAACTAATTATAATAGTATAATAACTAAACTGAACTTCAGCTGTGACAACAGAACTGAAGCAGTTTTAAATCACTAAATCTTCATCTATGTTAAACTGCTTCGACACACGCAATCTACTTTGCAAAAAGTGCTAAAGAAATAAAGATAAATTGAATGAATATTGGTATATTTTCTCATTTATTCGTTTTATGTATTTGATGCACATCTTAATTTTGCTAAAACAAAGATTGAACCTAATTTTGCTAGAACCATGCTACATCCCTTTGAGCTTCACAAGTTCAAAAAGTCAGATTTTAAGCTGTTTATATTTTTGGTGTGGACTGGGGAGCAAATGTGTTAAAAAGCTTAGAGTGAATCTTATCAATTCCATCTATCTACCAATACTGTACAGTTTGGTACATTTGGTACATTACATTTCTGAAGTGTCATCATATTGTTTTAGTCAACCTCTAAGTCATATTGTTTTAGTCAAAGTCTATGTTGGTTTTAGCTGGTCTTGACCAGGTGGTTTTTAGCTGGTTTGACTAGTTAGGATACAGCAATCACCATTTGGTACTGAGCTAGCTAACTGAAAAGTGTCCAAACACAGCAGATAAAACCATATTCAATTCAATCCAATCCAAGTTTATATGTATAGCACTTCTCACATAGTTATTATTTCAAAGCAGCTTTACAAAAGTTGCACATTACTGCATTATAATCAAATTTAAAAAAAATTAAGGTTATTAGTATTAATAGCTTTACCTAATTAACTAGTATCACTTTTAACAGTTACATTTATCACATAAAAACAGTACACCTGCAGCTACACAGTGTATAGTAGTCTAGCCTATACATGTTCAGTGAAGTGTGTTTGGGTATTAATGTGTGTATAGTCCTAAAACCAGTCACTGAATCAGGCTGCGTTTATAACCTAATATTTACTCTTCTGTCAATTTTCAGTCAACTATTTTCTACACTGTATGATGCAAAGTGCTTCTGTGTAATGTAAGGTGTTTATAACATTCCTGTAATGTGGACACAATGTGGCGTCAGTGATATTTTAATGATATATGTTTAGCTAATCTTTCCTAAATGATTGCAGACAAACCTCAGGAGACAGAAGACGACTGAATCCAGCTGTAGAGTGTGTGTGTTTGTGTACGTGTGTGTGTGGAGCTCCACTGTCTGCATCGCGTGTAAGTTGTAGAAAGGGGCGGTACCGACGACGACGATGATGATGATGATGAGCTCCACTGCGAACACGAGCGAGCGGAGAACCGGAGGATGGAGAAGCAGAAGAGCCGCAGCCGCGCACCGGAAAACATATGATGTTTTAGCAGCAGCAGTGCGGGCTCCACTTGACGTTTTGACCACTTTTGGTCATCAAATAGAAAGATGGCGCCGTCGGGCTCGCGCAGCTTTGACTGCTGGAGAGTTTTATACTGGATCCCCGTGCTGTTCATCAGTCTGATCGTGGCATGGTCCTACTACGCTTATGTAGTGCAGCTCTGCATAGGTAAGATAAGACTGGTCTGGCAGCAGCTCTCTGGGTGAAGTTAGAGTAAAACGGAGAGAGAATAAATAAATAACACCTGGCCTCCACCATGTGTTATGCTTATGTCTGTTTTTGTTAATAGAGCAATATTTCTGCTGTTAATAAGGGTTTATTTGCTTATATTCAGACTGATTAAGAGTGTCATGATTAGTGTTAAGTTGAATGAGATTCGTTTATTTCTCTTCTCTGCTTGAGTGTGCATGTGTGTCTGCATATAATGTTTTCTTAACAGTGGAATATTATGCATGTCTTTGCATAATAATTAAAAAAACGAAAATGTGGGTCAGACAAAGACTAAAAAGACTACATGTGAGGGTTGATAAAATATATATAAAACAATATTTTTCTGTTAAATATTTACAAAACTAAAAAATATATAGGAGATATGAAACGAGATTTAAAATAATAAACCAATTTCTAATTTGGTGTATTGGAAGGTTTAGAAACAAATTTAAAATAAATGCATGTTGATGCATATGACAGTCAGCAATTTAGCTATTTATATATCAATATCAGATTTTTTTTGATGTTGGTTCAATGGATCCTAATAAAATGCATCTGTTCATAAAAAGGTCAAAATAAATATAATGTTATTGTTTTCTTGTAACGAGCCAAAAATGGTTTCCTGCATGGGTATGATTTATAATAATCAATCAGATACTGTACACATGTTCTACAGTATATTTGTTTTCATAAATGTAATTTTTAATGTAGTTTAGACTCGCACAAAAAATGTCATTGACCTATATACAATAGCTTCAGTGTATAGCAAATATAATCTCTCAGAAATACTCACTGTTAATGATTTTTGTAAATTACATAATATTTAACTGTAATGTGAACTGTATTTTACTGTAGCAGGGTGATGCAGTATGTTACTGTATTTTAAGTTGCATTGTGAAAACTACTGTATATTCTAGAGATATACAATACTATAAATACATATATAGCAAGATTAATGGTACTGTAAATGTATATTCAGTATTTTTGTTATAAGTGATTTACAGTAAGTTACTGGCAAACTGCTGCCAGTAAGTTGCTGTATATCCTACAGGAATATGTTAACTGTGCTGGCAGTGTTGAGCAGTAACGTCTACAAGTACTGAAGCTACTAGCTTAACTACATTTCTCAGCAGTGTGGCGGTAGCGTCGCTACTTTCTAAATCAAATAGCTTTTCAGTAGCGAAGCTATTTTTTAGTCAAGTAGCGCAGTAGCGTCCACACAAGCTACATTTACAGATCGTGACAGATGCCGTTAGAGAATAAGTGACGGCATTGTCATTTACGGAGCTGTGAGGCTGGTGTCTAACCGATGAAAGTAAATCCATATGATGGCGAGAATTATGATTTCTTCCTCTTCTTGTTTTACAGTGGTCGACAACAAACTTTTTTGGTGCATTACTGCCACCTCTTGCTCTGTTCTGTAATGTCATTAATCGATTAGGCTAACACAAGAAATTTGCTTGCTGAAAAGATGATTGAGAGAAAGAAGGTCTATATATATAAGTATACTATGGTAATTACTATTAGTTCATGATAGTTACTAATGAAACGACATTACGTAGAGTAATTAATTCATGAAGAGTTGTAAATATACAATACAATATAATTCCTTTTCCTAAATATTTCCATTTACTATTAATTACTGTGGTATTTTAAATGTGTAACACGTGGTTTTATTGGATTTTTAGTTTAGTCTGTATAGCCTGTATAATCTATTATACTATCATTTGTTTCTGTTTAGTACAGTATTTTATTTGCAGTAAATGACTGAACTGAACAATTGTGCTTCATATGTTCATTAACAGTTTTATTGATCATTAAGATATGATTGACTTGGAATTAAGTTGCTTCAATTTAAAAATGGAAATTGCAAAAATAGCTTAGATGTAGCTAAGCTACTTTCCAATTAGCTTTTAGTTTAGCTTGCTACATTTTACAGAGGTTAGCTTTCAGTGCAGTTATGCTACATTTTAGTAGAGTAACTAATAGCTTAGCTCACTACATTTTTCAAGTAGCTTTGCCAACACTAAGTGCTGGCATGGGGACATTTTTACACCTCTAAAGCATACAAAGTATTAAAATATATAAAATATAAATATGAAATAGATTGAATGAAATAGCAATAATAGAAATTATAATAATAATGAATTTTATCTGTGATGCGAAACTTAAACTGTTTAAACTCAAAACACTACAAGATATACAATAACAAATATACAATTAAAAATGCAGAGAATTTTGCGTGCAAATATATGATCTATACCTTTTACATACCTCCATGCTGGCATTTAAAACCCTCATACAGTGCTTTATTGCTGTCACAGAGTTATAACTGGAGTAAAATATCTTTAAAATAGCTTTATCATGGACTGTGTCATTTGTTTTCAGACTGTTGTTTATTTATATGCGTGCAACAAGCAAAGGTCTGTGCTCACATTAACTTCAGAGCATCATTCACTCCTTTGATAACATCTGCTATCGTGTTCCCATAAAAACAGCATGAAGAGGCTTTATTGTTCTCTTCAATGGTGGATGATCATGAGGATGTCCTGTTTTTTTTTTTTTTTTCTACCGAAGACTTGTGTGTGCGATGGAACTCCTTTAATAGAATCAAATGACGTTCAAATATTTGTGTATAAAACAGTTGCTTTGTGATGCTCCTCAGAGAGCCCGAGTGGAGTGGCCAAACACACTGGCAGTTTATGCTGATCTGCAGTCAGTGGGTCTCTGTGGGCTCTCAGACTGAGCACTTGACTGGAGGAGAACAGAATGAAGGCCGTAAAGGACTTTAACTCTGAACTTGAGCATTAATTGAAGGATATTGAGTTCAGTGGGATTATCTAGTTGGCTGAAAAGTAGAAAAGACAGTGTCAGTTTAAGAATGATGCAGTTTATTGTTGACTGTAAAACAGTGGGATCTGTCTTAACAAGCTGAGATAATGGAGGGTCAGTGAGTCTTTACCTGATGAAGTACTGTCTGCTGATCCTTATGTTTCAATGCTAATCTCACTGCCAAGCTGTCAATCTCTACTTGACCTATTTCTGCTGTCATATCACTTGTGCTGCATTTTCAGTTGAGTTTAGCAACAAAAATGGGACCCTATGGTTTCTGTGATGTGGAAAAGGCAGAAGTATTCGCAGGATTCATTTATTCAAAACAAAGCATGTCATGGATTTTGGCAAATGTTGGGTGGGGATGTCAAAAGTAGGACTGTATGCTTCATCAGTTGTAATATCTTGCCGTGTCTGTGAATATTAAACCATAATCTCATTGATTCATTGAGATGGAAATTTTGGACAGTGCCAATAACTCTTTATATTTGGGAGGCAATAATTGATAAATAGGCCAATAAATACATGTCAGGATGTTGTTGTTGTTGTTGTTGTTGTTGTTGTTTTACAGAAATATCATGCAAACAGATGCAGTGGACAACTGATTTGATTTCAAAACCTTAATTATAGAAAACAAGAAAACTGCAAGGAAACATCTACATCTTTCTTTCTTGTTTCTTGTCTCTTATCTGACACTGCAACAAAAGGAAATAATCCCTTTTTTCAAATGTATTATTATGGATTTATTTTCCTATAGGACTAATAATAATAACATTAAAAATAAGCTTTTATCTGTCAATATCGGTATAGTCACAGATATTTTATCAATATGACATACACTAGCGGTCAAAAGTTGGGGTCAGCTTTTTATTATTAAATTTATTTAATAATTTAAATAAAATTATTCTGTTCATCAATTATTATTCTGTTCATCACATTTATTAAATTTAAAAAAAGTTAAATTGTTAAATATTTATTAAATATTAATTTGTTACTTATTGTATGTAGTTTCAAATGAAATTATTACTCCGGTAATTATTGCTTTTATTACTATTACCATTAATAATAATAATAATAATAATAATAATAATAATAATAATAATAATAATAATAATAATAATAATAATAATAATAATAATAATAATAATAATAATAGGGTGAGGCAGTGGCGCAGTAGGTAGTGCTGTCGCCTCACAGCAAGAAGGTCGCTGGGTCGCTGGTTCGAACCTTGGCTCAGTTGGCGTTTCTGTGTGGAGTTTGCATGTTCTCCCTGCCTTCGCGTGGGTTTCCTCCGGGTGCTCCGGTTTCCCCCACAGTACAAAGACATGCGGTACAGGTGAATTGGGTAGGCTAAATTGTCCGTAGTGTATGAGTGTGTGTGTGGATGTTTCCTAGAGATGGGTTGCTGCGTGTGAGATGGAAGGGCATCTGCTGCGTAAAAACTTGCTGGATAACTTGGCGGTTTATTCCGCTGTGGCGACCCCGGATTAATAAAGGGACTAAGCCGACAAGAAAATGAATGAATAAATAATAATGATAATAATAATAATAATAATTAATATTCAAGTGATTGCCAATAGATTGTGTGACTCTTAAGACTCTTTTAGAGTAATAAAGCTGAAAATTCATCATTAAAATCACTGGAACAACTTATAAACTACTTTTGTTATTTTATAGTGCAATAAAATTTCACCATTTTACAATTTGTACTGTATTTTTGATCAAATAAATGCAGCCTTGGTGAGCAGGATAAGCTTATTTTAAAACATTTAAAAATCCTACTGACCCCAAACTTTTGACTGGTCTATACCTGGAGCTGTCAAAGCCACTGTCTATTGGCTCTTTAGCTTCCTGAGAATCAGAGCCTTCCTGAAAACAGATTATTATTCGATTACACAGATTAGACAGATTATAAATTCATTCAGCACCACTCAAAGAGCTATTAGCTATGTTTAACTGTGTATTTTGTTAGTTGAATGTGTATGTTTTGGATTTTTTGTATGTGTTTGTAATGGGGCAACAAACACATGTGCACTTACACTGTTAAATAAGCATTTAAAGCATTGTTTGCTATCAATCAGAGATTATAGTATCACTTTATTTTGATGGTTCATTTGAGTATTAGTAGACTGTCTGCTTAATATCTATTAATACTGATCCCTTAACAGACATTAAACTGACAATAAGAAACTTTGCAACTTACACTAACCCTAACCCCAACACTTATTGCAACCTAACAGTTTACTTTTAATCTAATGAGAATTAGTTGACATGTAGATGCAATGTGATTTAGATTAAACAAACGGACAATCAAAATAAAGTGTGACCGAGATCATTTTGCACGTGTATTTCAGAGTACATTACGCTGTATGAGTATTGAACTTGATCCGTACAAGCCAGATCTATATAGCTCATAAATATTCCTAACCCTTTTAAATATGGCAAAAATAGAGCTTTTTATCCTATAGGGGAAAATAATATGGTTCTAAATGAATTTGCGCGCAGTGGTTAGCACTGTCACCTCACTGCAAGAAGGTCGCTGGTTCAAGTCCTGGCTGGGCCAGTTGGCATTTCTGTATGATGTTTGCATGTTCTCCTCATGTTCGACATGGGTTTCCTCTAAATTAGGGGTGTCCAAAGTCGGTCCTGGAGAGTATGTGTCCTGCTGACTTTAGCTCCAACTTGCTTCAACACACCTGCCTGGAAGTTTCTAGTATGCCTAACAAGAGCTTGATTAGCTTGTTCAGGTGTGTTTGAGTAGGGTTGGAGCTAAACTCTCCAGGACACTGGCCCTCCAGGACTGAATGTGGACACCCCTGCTCTAGGTGCTCCGGTTGGTTTCCTCTACAAGTCCAAAGACATGCACTATAGGTGAATTGGATGAACTAAATTGGTCGTAGTGTATGGGTGTATAAAACATGGGTAGTGTAGTGTATGGGTGTATAAAACATATAAAATATGGCTGCATAAAACATGCTGGAATAGTTTGCGGTTCAGGTGATCCCTGTTAATTTAGGGACAAAGCCGAAGCAAAATGAATGATGAATAAATTAGCTTGTTGAATCGTTACTGAGAATGATATCAGAGAACAGTTTAAACCAGATCTATATATTCTATGGCACCTTTAATTTCTGAAGTTGGATGTAATGAAGTCTCATCATCTGTTGACAGCTTTAATCACTCTAATACAGAAGATACGGTCTTTGTTATGGTCTTGTGTAAATACGATTGGCGATTGTACTAACACTTGCAGCGTTGCTTTACATGCCTTTTGTATAATGAGGATTTAATGCCACAACACATCACCATTTTTAAAGCATCCTCTTAAATGCTCTCTTGGGTTCACAAACTTAAATAAAATATCTGTTTGGAGATGCACTGCATTCTGGCATTTCCTTTTGGCTGTGTGCTTCAGAAGAACTTGTGTTTTTATCTAAGTGCCAGACCGTATCATCTTTCAAAGAGCATATTTTGGATGAGAGTAGTCCAGCCAACACTGTATTAGATGAGGCTAGTCTAATGAGGCTTTTAGGACACTGCAACTTTAGTAAACCAAGACATTTATTGAAGCATCTGTCTGTTCAGAATAATCACTAAAGAGTATATCTTGGAAACAGACACACTGTGGAAAACAACAATCTGTGTGGGTGGTCATATCTTGAGATGCGATTTTCATGCGTTATTTTCTAAGATCTCTCACTCCATTGCCACAATACATTTTGCAAGCGCACCAGTTGAAGAGATGCAGTTTGGGCATGTGATCAAGAGTACAGCGCGAGTTCCAGCAACAGCGATCAGAGAACTGTGCTGAGAACCATCTGCTGCTCGGTGACCTTCCATGAAATGCACAAGGAGTTTCTGACCTACTGTTTAAACAATAATAGCAAGTGCAGGATTCAAATCACACAGCATTATCAAATTTATCATTGATACCTCTTTCTCTTTCCTTCACAGAAACCATTGAAAACATGGGAGAGAAAAGTAAGTCAGCTTTTATTCGTATTTTACAGACAATGAAATACCAATGACTTACTTTTGGAATAAACGGGATAGTTTACTTAAAATGAAAATGTACTTACCATTTACACCATTTAAGGGTTCCAAACGTTTATGAGGTTCCTTTTTTGTTGAACACAAAATAAGTGATTTTGGAAACAAATGCTATGAAAGCCAATGGTTACAGTTCTCTAAACGTTTTTTGAACTAGCTTCTTTTGTGTTCAACAGAAAAAAGAAACTCAAACTCATTAACTTGTTTATGACAAGTTAAAGGTGAGTAAATAATGACAGAATTTTTAATTTGGGTGTGCTATCCCTGTAACGTTTGCTGAAGGAAATGTACCTGTGTAATTGTAGTGTGTTGTAAGTGATAAAGTAGTAATTAACGTATAATAAGAGGTGTAAGTGCTTGGCTAGATTTTGTTGTCACAGTGCTAAGGTGGTGATTGTGGCTTCTGTGGGGTTGCTCTGAAAGATTTTCATTTGTTTCTGACTTGTTTTTAGTGTTTTTTAAAAAGTAGAACTGTTTTATTTTAGTCCATAACAAATTAGTATTTAAAGTTATTTTAGCTTATGCACAGACATAATTTGCTTAAATATTCAATCATTTTCTGTTCGGCTTAGTCCCTTTATTAATCAGGCGTCACCAGAGTGGAATGAAAAGCCAACTAATCTAGTAAATGTTTTACGCAGCGGATGCCCTTCCAGCTGCACTCAGTGGGAAACATCCATACACACCCAGTCACACACATACAATACGGACAATTTAGCCTATTTTCCCTGTGGGAAACCGGAGCACCCGGAGGAAATCCATGCGTACATGAGTAAAACATGCAAACTCCACACAGAAATGTCAACTGACCCAGCCGGGGCTCGAACCAGTGGCCTTCTTGCTTTGAGGCGAACACGCTACTCACTGCGACACTGTGCAGCCTTGCTTAAACATATAAGTTTATATATATATATATATATATATATATATATATATATATATATATATATATATATATATATATATATATATATTACTTAATATTTTTCAGCTTAAAGTGCAATTTACTGTGGCTTGTTGTAAACAATCTAATATATATTTGACTTCCACTGTAAAGCACATGACCACAGCACCACCTCCACATTCATTTGAATGCTTTGTTTAGAAGTTGACAGTGTTGCTATAGAAATACACAATTGTGAGTCTGAAGAGTCTAAACAGCAGAGCGGAATATCATGTGTTTTTTTCTCTGAATTACGGTCATTACAAAATCACATGAACTCAGCTAATAATAGAAGTCTTTTCTTTAGCCAGCACCACTAATGATCTCATATAAAAGAGGTCAATTATTTTATTACAGACTTGTCAGAGATATTATATGTGTATGTTTTTTTAATCATCTTTCAATATTTCTTACTCATCACAGCAGTTTACCTGCTGATATATCATCTGCTGTTTCTGATGTTTGTGTGGTCATACTGGCAAACCATTTACTCAAAACCAATGAACCCGCTCAAAGAGGTGAGTGTATTGCACAGTTATTACAGTTATTTGATTATTGATTAAAGTGATTCACATTGTAAGGATTTTTGGCATAGAAGAAAAATCTATATTTTTGAATCATACAATGTATTTTTGGTTATTTCTACAAATATATTTTGTATAGTTTTGTAGTCCAGGCTCACATGTAAACAGCATATACAGTGCTCAACGTAAATAAGTACACTCCATTTTGAAAATAAATATTTGAATCTATTTCTCAATTAGGTAATATATCTTGGTGCATTTGAACAAAACAGATACATTTATTAAAATAATATTTTAGTCACTGAATATATTTTAAATAAAAAGATAAAACATTTAAATTAATGTGAAACATAGCAAAATAAATTACAAACTACACAATTTCAACAAAATTATATATATATATATATATATATATATATATATATATATATATATATATATATATATATATATTGTTGGTATTTTTTTTTTATTATAATTATTGTATGATTAAATGATAATAATTCTTTTGAAAGGGCAAGTAAATATATTTTCCAACTGGGATATCAGAAAAAAAAATTTCTTAGCGTTTAGCCCTGTATGTCTAAAATTTTATTCATAATGGTCCTAAAAATGTCTTAAAGGGCACCTATGATCAAAATCTTCTTTTGTAAGCTGTTTGGACGGAATTGTGTGTAGGTATAGCGTGTCCACATTCAAACTGGAGTGATATAAAGACAATACGTCTATTTTTAAAATTTCCTGACATTAAAATAGAATCCAAATCCCTCCCATTTTAAGGCCGACCACATCGTGACGTAGGAGTGCAGTTTTCCGGCCCACCGAATTGATTGACAGCCACGTATTAACATGTCTCTGTAGTAATTCGTATAATCATATAAACAAGACGGAACGAGCGCAAAGCAACTGGGATTAAAAGATCTGGTCAGCTCGCTGTGATCATCAATCATCATCAAGTGTGATCAAGAATGAGTTTTACAAGTTTAAAATGTTTTAAAACAGTGAATGTTTGTTATAAATTACAGTGATTTTACCATCTCTATCAACACAGCCGCATGTCAGTACAATTCTAAAAAAAGATGCTTCAATCCGGTTTGTGGACGTTAAATCAGGTTTATTTTGTACATTAATATAACAGATATCTAAACAGCAGTTGATAAGAATGTGCACCCTGTCACATTTACTTTGCAAGAACACTGCAAAACTGCGTGGGCTGTGTGTATAAATGTTGTAACAACATTGTGTTTTGTGCTCATCGCAGAAAGCCTTGAATCAACTCCACAACATATACATCAAATAATCATTGGGAAAGTTCTACTGTAGTATTTCTCACAAACTTTACATGACATCTGCTTCCTTCATGTCTGTCACTGTGCTGTTTATCTGATAGAGACGGAGACACTCTGACAGGCTTGTGGGAACGTTGGGCGGGGAGAACCAGCATTAAAGGCACAGGCAACAAAGACAGCTACATTGTGTTCAAAGCAGAAAATTCCAATTTTTCCAATTCTGAAAGGTATAATAAATAATCTGAAGGGTGTTTTGAGTTGAAACTTTACAGACACATTCTGGAAACATAAAATACTTCTCTTAAATCTTGAAAAAGGGGTAAAATGGGTGCCCTTTAAAAAGTCTTAACTTGGTAAAACCTGCAGAAGCCAGATATGAATAAATACAAATATGAACACCAAAATTGAACAGCAGACAAACGAAGCCATCAGAATGTACTCTAAAACTGCATCATCCTGAACTAATAATTCCATTTAAATGTTATTTTGCATTCAACAACATGACTCATGAGGTGTTGGCTCATAATGAATATTTTTCGTTGCCAGTTGGCAGAGATTACTGTGTACGATTAGTTAATATATGGTTGGATGAGTTGTTGGTTGTGCATATAAAAAAACAGCATGGTGAGGGAGTAAAACCGCATGTGTTCAGCGGTAACTATAACACCTCACGCTAAGCGCTTATTATTTCAAGCTGAGAGAATGAGAAACAAACTACAGTGAAGAAACTTCAAGTTGGCAGTCTCATCGTACTCATCTCTGAATGCAGAACATGCTGCTTGTCACACAGGAACTATCAATACGTTGTTTTTTTGTCTTCTCCTTTCAGTTCCACCTGTCACATGTTGACAAAGAGCTATTAGAGCGTGAAGACCGGCGAGAATCTCAACAGGAGATCTTGAGGAGAATTGCTAAGGATTTGCCCATTTACACACGCACCATGTCAGGAGGTGGGCTCTTTTCTTTAAGTTCAGCACATCCAGATTTTTGCCAAGACATCATTGTTAGCAGTAGCAGGGCAGTCTATTCAGGCTCAGTAACAAATATTAGCCATAGACAATTACATTTGTTTCAATCTGTCTTCAGTCTTTTCAGCCAATGCTATCGATCTGTATTTTTAACAAGCTGTCTTGATACAGCAATCCGCTACTGTGATCGCTGTCTGCTGCTGAAGCCTGATCGATGCCATCATTGCTCCGCCTGTGATATGTATGTCTTTCTACTTTTTTAAAGACACAAAACACATTAGATTTTTTCTTTTGCAGAGCTGCTTTTCAACAACTCCTCCCTCTGCTTTTTTACAGGTGCATTTTAAAGATGGATCACCACTGTCCGTGGTATGTACTAGCTCAGGAAATTAAATGCAAAGCAAGAAAGAAATTATTTTGGGAGGAACAACATGCACGATATGTTTATTTGTGGGTTTCTGTCAGACCAGAAAACATTTTTGTTTCTTCAGTGAATGCAGTTCTATTTTGAAAGTTAAAGGGATACTTCATGGACTCAGTAAAACATATTTGCTTACACTCCATCTGTTCCAAACGCAAAAGAGGAAAATTCTAAATTCTTACTTAGATTTTATATTTTGTTTCTAGTCAAAATATCTACAAAATATTTAATCAAGAAGCATTTTCTAGACCAGTGGTTCTCAAAATGGGGGTTGGGACCCCCGCGAAGTGTCATGGGACAATGAAGGGGGGTCGCATGGTGATTTCCAAAAATCTATTTATTTTTAGTAAACTAAATTATTATTTTTAGTTTTAGTTTACCATATTTTATCCATAACCTACTGAAGAGAAAACTTGTTACTACTATTAGTTAATACTATATACAATTGAGGTCAGAATAATTAGCCCCCTTTGTTTTTTTTTTTCTATTTTAAATATTACCCAAATGATGTTTAACAGAGCAAAGAAATTTTCACAGTATGTCTGATAATATTTTTTCTTCTTAAGAATGTCTTTTTTGTTTTATTTCGGCTAGAATAAAAGCAGTTTTCAATATTTTAAAAACCATTTAGGGACAAAATTATTAGCCCCTTTAAGCTATTTGTTTTTTTTTTTTCGATAGTCTACAGAAAAAAACATCATAATACAATAACTTGCCTAATTACCCTAACCTGCCTAGTTAACCTTACTAACCTAGTTAAGCCTTTAAATGTCACTTTAAGCTGTATAGAAGTGTCTTGAAAATATCTAGTGAAATATTATGTGCTTTCATCATGGCAAAGATAAAAGAAATCAGTTATTAGAAACGAGTTATTAAAACAATCATGTTTAGAAATGTGTTGAAAAAGACTTCTCTCTGTTAAACAGAAATTGGAGAAAAAATAAAAAGAGGGGCTAATAATTCAGTGGGCTAATAGGTCTGACTTCAACTGTACTATATAGATACTATAGTAGCTTATATTTACTAGTTCTATTGGATTTTGACCCCTGGGGTAACATATTAAAGACACAGCAATAGCGTCAGATGCAGCAGATTGATTTTATATCACCATAAACTTTCTGGCACATTTACAGCACTCACATACATTTAAAAAAACAAACCAAGAATAGAATTGGTCTGTTGGTGTTTGCGCCATTGCATGTGAGGTTTCTGTTTTTTTTTACTACCTCAGAGGATATTGGGGGTCGCGAGTCACTGTTATTGTCATTTTGGTGGTCATAGGCTGAAAAGTTTGGAAACCTCTGTTCTAGACAAGCAAAAAAATTGTTTTAGGAGATAATATGCCAAAACTAAGTGAGTTTTTAAGATTAAGAGGATTTTGCTTACCCCATTAGCAGATTATTTTGCTTGTTTCAAAGAAAAACTCAATAATTTTGGCATATTATTAAAATAATTAGTAAAGTGTTTACCACGCTGTAATGTTACCAGTCCTTTATCAACTCACAACACTTTAAAGATGTTTAGGCACTGCAGACATTAAGTGATGAAGTGTGTCAGGTATAATTTTGTCCTATTCTACCTGCAAACAAGTCTTAAATTGGGCAACACTATGGGGTCTTTATTATCACATTTTGCGCTTCAAAATGCACCATGCATTCTCTATTAGAGACAGGTCAGTACTGCAGACAGGCCAGTCAAGTACCTTTTTGCTCTTCCTCTGCCGCCTGGATTTTGTAATGTGTGCAGAATGTGGTTTTGCATTTATTGTTGAAATATGCAAGGGCGTCCCTGAAAAAGGAGGCAGCATATTGTGCGCCAAAATCTCTGTACTTTTCTGCATTAATGGTGCCATCACAGAAGTGCAAGTTACCTTTGCCAAGGGCACTGAAACAACCCCATACCATGACAGACCCTGGCTTTCGGACTTGTTGTTGGTAACAGTCTGGATGATCCATTTCTTCTTCCATACAGAGCACACCACATCTATTTCTCCCCCAAAAAAATACCTGAAATACTGAATCATCTGACTACAGTACATGCATCCTCTGTGTGATGGTCCATCCCAGATGCCTCCAAGCCCAGAGAAGTTGACAGCGCTTCTGAACGCTGTTAATATAGGGCTTCCTCCTGCCACAGTACAGTTTTAGCTGCCATTTGTTGATTACAACTATTTATTGTGTATTGTAGTATCCAAATATCTTCCTATGTTTCTTTTAGGACCATTGTTTTTAAAAATTTCAATAATTTTCTCATGTATTTGTTGGCAAACTGGAGATCCTCTGCCCAGTTTTGCTCCTAAAAGACTAGACCTTTCTTCGATACTGGTTTTGTACCAAATCATAATTACAATCACCTGTTGACATCACCTGTTTCAAATCACATCATTATTTAACCAATTTACCTGATTGCTAGCCTTAAATTGCTTCTGTCCCAATTTTTTTTGGAATGTGTTGCTCTGAATGACAGGAAATAATGTATTTTTACAAATGAAATGTAGTTGACCAGACAAAACATTAAATATTTTGTTGATGTTGTCTGCAATGAAATACAAGACAAAGTAAATTTGGAAATCACAACTTTTTTATTTGTGTTGTGCCAACCTTTTCTAAATTGGGGTTGTATTTTTTTTGTTTTGATTTTCATAATACTGTTAACCATTGACCTGCAATAAATAAGTTTGAATGGCGTGAGAGTGTGTAACCTAGAAGCAAATTGACAATTCTGGGTGAACTATCCCTTTAAATGAATTGAATGAATCTTAATTACATGGCATTTCACAAATAAAAGTAGAGAGTGCAAATAGCTTGTTGAGGTAGCGACTGCACATTTTGTCTCATCACTGTGTGTATTGTGCAGCACTCTGCAATCAAAATTGATATTGATATCCAATCTTATTGAGGCTAATAGGTGCATTTTATCTTCTTTGACAGGGTTAACAATTGCGTGGGCTTTGCCAACTACAAGTTTTTCATGCTCTTCCTAGCATATTCCTTGTTGTATTGCCTTTTTGTCACTGCCACAGACATGCAGTATTTCATCCAGTTTTGGACTGTAAGTATTATATTTATCTATCTTCTATGAGGAAACATTTAATGTGGCTCTCTTTATTTTAATTTTGGATGTAATTTTGAGCATGGCATTTAAAAATAAAGTCTTTTTATTTTCGAAGGTTGATGGTAAAACACATGATCGTCTAATCCAATATTTGGTAGGACTAAATCCTTCATGGATATAACTGATCCTCTAGTTCCTGTAGTTTTCCTTCAGCATAATGCCTCAGTTTAGATCCAGTGCACGAGTCAATGTTGGCCCATTAAAAATGTTTTTCTAGTCTGGGATGGATTGCCAGTTTGTCCGTAGGGAGTAAGTATCCCACTTCTGCTTGCATCCACTTGTTCAGTCTAGTTCCTCAATCTTTATGATGTAAACAGAGGATTTCAGCATATTATATATACTTTCTTTCTTCCTTTTTTCTTTTTTTTTCTTTCTTTCATTCTTTCTTCCTTTTTTCATTTCTTTCTTTTTCCGTTTTTTCTTCTTTTTTCCTTACATTCTTTCTTCCTTTTTCATTTCTTTATTTCTTTCTTTCTTACTTCTTTCTTTCTTTCTTTCTTTCTTTCTTTCTTTCTTTCTTTCTTTCTTTTTTTCTTTCTTTCTTTTCTTTCTTTCTTTCTTTTCTTTCTTTCTTTCTTTCTTTCTTTCTTTCTTTTCTTTCTTTCTTTCTTCCTGTTTCTTTCTGTCTTTCTTTATTCCTTTTTCCTTTCTTATTTTTTCCTTTCATTATTTCTTCTTTTTTCATTTCGGCCTTTCTTTCTTTGTTTCTTTCTTTCTTTTTTTTCTTTCTTTCTTTCTTTTTTTTCTTTCTTTCGAAATTATATATATATATATATATATATATATATATATATATATATATATATATATATATATATTCAGTCTAGTTCCTTAATCTTTATGATGTAAACAGAGGATTTTAGTATATTATATATACTTTCTTCCTTTTTTCTTCTTTTTCTCTTTCATTCTTTCTTCCTTTTTCATTTCTTTCTTTCTTTTTTTCATTCTTTCTTCTTTTTTCCTTACATTCTTTCTTCTTTTTTCATTTCTTTCTTTCTTTCTTTCTGTCTTTCTTTTTTCCTGTTTCTTTCTGTCTTTCTTTATTCCTTTTTCCTTTCTTATTTTTCTCCTTTCATTCTTTCGTCTTTTTTCATTTCGGCCTTTCTTTCTTTCTTTCTTCCTTTTTTCTTCTTTTTTCCTTTCATTCTTCCTTTTTTCATTTCTTTCTTTCTTTCCATTTCTTCCTTTCATTCTTCCTTTTTTCATTTCTTTCTTTCTTTCTTTCTTTCTTTCTTTCATTCTTTCTTTCTTTCTTTTTTCCTGTTTCTTTCTGTCTTTCTTTATTCCTTTTTCCTTTCTTATTTTTCTCCTTTCATTCTTTCGTCTTTTTTCATTTCAGCCTTTCTTTCTTTCTTTCTTCCTTTTTTCTTCTTTTTTCCTTTCATTCTTCCTTTTTTCATTTCTTTCTTTCTTTCTTTCTTTCTTTCTTTCTTTCTTTCTTTCTTTCTTTCTTTCTTTCTTTCTTTCTTTCTTTCTTTCTTTCATTCTTTCTGTCTTTCTTTTTTCCTGTTTCTTTCTGTCTTTCTTTATTCCTTTTTCCTTTCTTATTTTTTTCCTTTCATTCTTTCGTCTTTTTTCATTTCGGCCTTTTTTTCTTTCTTTCTTTCTTTCTTTCTTTCTTTCTTTCTTTCTTTCTTTCTTTCTTTCTTTCTTCCTTTTTTCTTCTTTTTTCCTTTCGTTCTTCCTTTTTCATTTCTTTCTTTCTTTCCATTTTTTTCTTTCTTTCCATTTTTCTTTCTTTCTTTCTTTCTTTCTTTCTTTCTTTCTTTCTTTCTTTCTTTTTTTCTTTCTTTCTTTCTTCCTGTTTCTTTCTGTCTTTCTTTATTCCTTTTTCCTTTCTTATTTTTTCCTTTTTTCATTTGTGCCTTTCTTTCTTTATTTCTTTCGAAATGTTTTATATATATATATATATATATATATATATATATATATATATATATATATAATATTCATATATTTCTATATGATTTGTTTGTTAACAATAAAATGTTTAACATTTAAACATTTTCAAAGACGCAATAGAAATCCCTTTTGCAGCACCCAGGAGATCCTTGGACCTAATTTTTAAAAAGCCCTGCAGTAGATACTACAACAAGCAGTAGTTTACATTCTGAATGAGCTACTGCATTTGTTTCTTCAAAAATGCCTGTTTGTTATGTATTTTGAGTTTTCCCGTCTTTCCACAGAATGGTCTGCCTGATACTCAAGCCAAATTCCACATCATGTTCCTGTTTTTCGCCGCCTCTACATTCTCAGTCAGCCTAGCGTTTCTGTTTGCTTATCACTGCTGGCTTGTCTGCAAGAACAGATCCACTTTGGGTGAGGAGGCTGTGCTTTAATTACCCTTGGAGTTCACTAGTAAACATCAACAGTGTGTGCTTTGCGTCCTGTGATCATCTGTCCAGACTGCCTGTTCGAGTATGGCTCGTACACCCAGTGACTCAGATCTGGGGCAGGTGCTGTTTAGGTCTTTTACAGTCTGCCCTTTGTGGCAGATCCTCAAGGGGACACGTATCTGTGACAACAACATGCCCAGTCTTCTGGCAAAAGCAAGTGTGTCATGATGCATTACGGCTGAAAAGCATTGTCAGACACATCCTAATAATTACTGTGTAAAGCCTACTGTATCATTTAATTCACAGATTTCTAATCTCTGTAATTTATCAGTACGGTCAAATCATGTCTTTTGTTGTCTGATTGAAAATAAGATTCTCCAGCCTGATCTCACAAGGAAACATAACTGTTTTAAGTTTGGTCAGTTTAGTGGCTAATTCATACCAATTTATACGAGTTCAGTCAAAATCTATGATTTTTAAACAGGAGGCATGGCACCCAGCCCCACCCCTAATCCCAACCTCATTGAGGGATGAGCAAATTGTATTAAATTGTACGAATGAGATTGCACAAAATCATACGAATTAGCCACTAAATAAAGAAGTTACAAATTGCCGTGAGATTGTGTTGGATTCTCCGATGTTAATGATGGGATGCTGGACTAAATTCAAATGATTTCATCTGAATTTGCCCACAGGTAGTCAGAAAAATGAAAAAGTAAAGATCAAAGTTGAGAGTTAAAAATATGTGATATTTTCAAATATAAGTTTGAAAATGCATATTTTTTTTGTTTCGCAATTGACAAATTCTCACTATTTTTGCATAAGCTTTGCTAGGTCTAGCATTTGTTAAATTGCTTTGGGAGTGGCTAGGTTGACTCCATAGCGCCCCCTAACATTTTAAAATATATTTATTGCTGTTATTGCCACAGATTGTATCTGATTGTTCTGAAATTTGGTAGAGACGTTTTCCTCAACATTACAAACATAATTTCATTTCTTGTTATATATACAATAACAGGAAGTTTTTCTTTCAGTTTATTCTGGACTTCTTGGAAATGCCATGATCTTTAGATCTTTAGTCTAGATTTTTGGCAGACACTTGAGAATTTTGTAAGACACTTTTGATAACTCGATATTGCCATGGAAACACACACAAACACACACACACACACACACACAAATAGGAAACACGTACATCTATGTCTACATCTCTCAGTTATCACTGTATTGTATTAGATTGTATTGTATTTGTAGCATAATATAATATATAATAATATACAAAACGTAACATAAAAGATTACAGACTATTTATCATTAATTTAAACTTTTTAGGGAGGATTTATTCTTAATATGAAATAATACTGAAAGATGCTGAGGATTTTTTTCAGATTTTTTACTTAAGTTTGTACTGGTATACGTATCCCATTATATTACATAAGCTATCATTCATTCATTCATTTTAATTTGGCTTAGTCCCTTTATTCATCAGGGGTCACCACAAAGGAATGAACTGCCAACTTATTTAGCATATGTTTTACACAGCGGATGTCCTTCCAGCTGCAACCCAGTACTGCGAAACATCCATACACACTCATTCCTACCCATACATTACGGCCAATTTAGCTTATTCACTTCACCTATAGCACATGCCTTTGAACAGACAAAGGGGGAAACCCATGCAAACACAGGAAGGACATGCAAACTCCGCACAGAAATGCCAACTGATCCAGCTGGGACTCGAACCAGTGACCGTCTTGCTGTGAGGTGAAAGTGCTAACCACTGAGCCACCGTGTCGCCAAAACCAGCTTTCATAATTTCTTGCTTTTGCCAATATGCTGCTGTATCAGTTGCATGTTTTTGCTCAGTTTGTGCTTCGATAAAATTCAGGTGTTTTTCCACCTTGAATATGAACTTTCACTTGAATATTCTCACTATATCACAATTTATGCTTGATTTTAAATATGAAATAATAATATAATGTCTATTGGTTAAATGTACTGTTTTAATCCTTAAATTGTATTTTTTTTATAAAAATCCCACTATTACTTTTTATGTCAGGCTTTACATTTAGAGTTCAAAACCAAGTAAGTGGGACACTAAATAAAAGACTGTTTCTCCTCTAAGAGGCGTTCAGAGCTCCTGCATTCCAGCATGGGACAGACAAGAACGGCTTCAGTTTAGGAGCATACAAAAACTTTCGCCAAGTGTTTGGGGATGAAAAGAAATATTGGCTTCTGCCTATTTTTTCAAGGTATCAGGCATTTTTGTTCAGTTGAACTTTAAGTTTTAGTGTCTGTGTTTTGTGTCAGTGTTTTATTGGCTGTGTCACATTGTGTTTCTGCAGTTTGGGCGACGGCTGTTCATTCCCCACCTGTCTAGTGAATCCAGACCCTGAACAACCTTCTATACCACCTGGACGAAACCCTTCAGTCAAGAGGTTCAGTTAGAAAAACTTTTTTTGTCAAGTAGTGTTCAACATTAAAAAAAATACAAGAATATTATAATAAGAATGTGACACTGGACCACAAAACCATTTTTATGTTACACCAGTACAGTGCTCAGCATAATTGAGTACACCCCGTTTTGAAAATGAATATTTGTATCCTTTTCCCAGTGAATGGCAATGTATTTTGGTGCATTTAAACCAAACTGATTTATTAAACAGATATATTTTATAATAATATTTTAGTCACTAAACATATTTAGAAATTGAAACATAATACAACTAAATTTAAGCAAAATATTGTACAAAAAAAAAAAAAACCTACAAAATTTCAGCAAAATTTTTCACTTTTTTGTGGCTTCTCTTGTTTTTTCCTCTTTTTTAAAATTTGTATTTATCATTTTTCTATAACATATCAATTTGGGTATACTAGTTTTTAGACCGTTATCGTAAGCTATTTTGTTAAATAAGCTCCAGATTTGGCTTCAGTACAGACTAAACTAATGTACAGTATATGCACAAATATAATATTGTATAGCTTCCTATTAAACATAGGAATTTTAAAGATAGATTTGTGAGGTGTGTGCTTATATATGTTGAGCACTGTATATTTTTGGCAATAGCAAAATTACAGATTTTTATATGATGCCAAATATTTTTTTATTATTAAGTAAAAATGTTCCTTGAATATATTTAGTAAATTTACTACTGTAAATATATAAAAATTCAATTTCTAATTAGTAATATACAATATTAAAAACTTAATTTACACAACTTTAAATAAGATTTTCAATATTTAGATTTTTAAAAAGCTTTGGTTCCAGATTTTCAAGTAGAAGTATATCTGCCAGATATTGTCATATCCTAATAAACCATATATTACAATGGAAAGCTTATTTATTCAGTTTTCATGTGATGAATAAATCTCAATAGCAAAAAAATGGCACTTATGATGGTTTTTGGTGGCCAGGGTCACATGAGACAAGGCAAGGCTATTTATTTGTAAAGCATCATTAACAACAAAAAATAGTTGTACAGCATTTAAAAACATTAAGATTTTTTAAATACATAACTTACTGTACCTAACCTACACAAAATTATTCAAAAGGGATTTAAAGGTCCCCATTAGGGGCAAACTATTCCAAATTTTTGGAGCTGTCAATGAAAAGGCACAAGAAAAGAAATGCCCCAGTATGTCAAGACAGTACAACAAGTAAAGGGTATTTTTACACTGCGAAAATGTGAAACCCTTTAAAATGTTAACCCTGCTTTTAATGATATGTAGAGGATGTTTACACCTGTAATTTAAAAGCAGGCATTGCACAACTTGATTCTGTGCTCTTGAGCAGAGTTAATCCAATTCTCACCAAACTGACAGACATCAACCAAACAGCATTGGGTCTTGTCAGGTCAGCCCAGTTTCCACGATTTCCTTCAGTCACATTTGAATGTCACATTTCACCCTGTCACGGAAGGAGCACAGAACTTTCACAGATCTGTCCTTAAAGCAACTTCTCTGCTGGTTTATTGACTATGATAAAATAAAAGGACTTAAAGGGGACCTATTATGCCTTTTTACAAGATACAAAGTCTCTGATGTCCCCAGAGTGTGCGAGTGAATAATCCTCAATTTAAATGCAATCAACATAGATAATGACCTGATTTAGTTGAAAAAAAAAAACAACTGTTAAAGGTGCAATAGGTGATTGTCTTCTGAAATAATCTTTGTTAAGCTAGTTGAAAGTCTCTTCTCATCCTGATAGGAATCAATAAATGAAATGGTCTAATCAAATTTTTATATTTTTAATATTCTGTGGAAGGTGTAGGATCATAAAAAATTCATCCTATCAAAATTTTTGGCCCGATTATTACAACAGGCTCTCCTACCTGCCTGTCAGACATATTTAATTGCATGCACCTCATGTTTGCGCAGAAAAAAACGTCATGTGCATGTTCACAGACATACAATGGCCAGCAAACACCAGCATTCTACCTTCTAGTTTTAAGTTTGATATTGTAATTACTTTAAAGTTTTCTTTCTGGTGAATGTTGTGTAATGTATTGTAGTGATGTATTCTATGTGTGTTCCTGCATTCAGGAGGCGTAGCTTTGGATGGCAATTTGCAGGGTGGGATAATGGCTTTCAGTGCTATCAAGCTAACGTTAGCATTTTTCATTATCTCCTGTTGCACCGTTGGGTTGGATGAATGCAAAGGGTCACAGAAGTACAAAAGCCATCCCAAACTCTAATTGGATGTGAAGTTTACATATGGAAGTCCACACAGCTGCTGTACTATTGTATTCTGAAAATGATGACTTCTGCGTGGTCACTTGTAGACTGTCAGATATAGTGGAAACATGGTTTTACCTCATGTTGATATCTGTTGGCATTGGTTAACCATCGTTTTTTATGTGTTTAATGAATGGGAGAAGTGCATAACACTGTGGGATACTGTATAGATGATTCCGTTGATGGTCTTTTCATTGTTTCAGTGCTGGAGAATCGCATCCGTTTCCTCCTAAACCTCTGAGAGAGTCACAGAGTCGCCTGCTGAACAACGGACAGACAGACGGAAGTGAAGACCGAGACAAGCGAGGTGAGAGACAAACAATATCATTACTCTTGACATGAAGATGAGTGATAAATCAGACATTAAACACATTCTATACACTCCAAAAATGAGTTTAAGCAACACAATTTTTAAGTTTTTAAGTGTCCCCTTTTTGGGGACAATTTCATTGTTTTATGTTCAATCCACTTAAATTTGTAAAAAAATATTAAGTTAACTTTTGTGTCAGGACAGCATGAAGGAATTGTGTGGAAGCCAGCATTTTTTACAGTTGAACTATCAATGTGTGAAATGATAAATCACTGTGATAATACTTCTCATTCTCTATTTTCCTAACAGGCACAAGCAACCCAGCCTTGACTATTGAGAAGGAAACTTAGAAACAGGTTTGTTCTTTTTTTGTAATGCTTGTAAACATACAGTTGAATCAGAATTATTAGCCCCTTTTTGATTTTTTTTTTATATATATATATTTCCCAAATGATGTTTAACAGAGCAAGGGAATTTTCACAGTATGTCTGATAATATTTTTTCTTCTTGATGAAGTCTTATTTGTGTTATTTCGGCTGTAATTAAAGCAGTTTTTAAATTTTTTAAAAACCATTTAAGGTCAAAATAATTGGCCCCTTTAAGCTATATATATTTTTTTGATAGTCTACAGAACAAACCATCATTATACAATAACTTGCCTAATTACCCTAACCTGCCTAGTTAACCGAATTACCCTAGTTAAGCCTTTAAATGTCACTTTAAGCTGTATAAAAGTGACTTGAAAAATATGTAGTCAAATATTATTTACTGTCATCATGGCAAAAATAAAATAAATCAGTTATTAGAAATGAGTTATTAAAACTATTATGTTTAGAAATGTGTTGAAAACATCTTCTCTCTGTTAAACAGAAATTGGGGAAAAATAAACAGGGGGGCTAATAATTCTTACTTTAACTGTATTTTTTTAAATAATACAACTTATAATAGTTTTAGAGTTGTTGATTGAAGGATACATTATTTAAAGCTTATTTTGCTCATCAAGACTGCATTTGTTTGATCATTAACAACATCAACAAACACAAGCAAAAAGGTCGCTGGTTTGAGCCCTGGCTGGATCATTTGGCATTTCTGTGTGGAGTTTGCATGTTCTCCCTATGTTCGCGTGGGTATCCTCCAGGTGCTTCGGTTTACCCCACATTCCAAAGACATGCACTATAGGTGAATTAATTTCTTCTTTATTTTCTTTTCACCTTAGTCCCTTTATTAATCAGGGGTCGCCACAGTGGAATGAACCACTAACTTGTCCAGCATGTTTTACACATGTCCTTCCAGCCATAACCCAACACTGGGAAACACCTGGTATATGTGAATTGAATAAGCTTCATTGGCCGTAGTATATGTGTGTGAAAGCAAGAGTGTATGGGTGTTTCCCAGTACTGGGTTGCAGCTGAAAGGGCATCCACTTCGTAAAACATATGCTGGATAAGTTGGCGGATCATTTCGCTGTGGACAACATCAAGGAATTGTGTAATAAAGGAACTAAGCCAAAAAGAAAATGAATAAATATAATATAATATATAATTTTTTTTAAGTTTTCTTATATTTTATTATGTTTAATGTATTTAAGAATACAGTTGTTATTTATTTAGTTTTGAACTCTATACTGTATTATGCAGATAATATTTTTATTGTTACTGTAAACATTATTGTCCCCGTTTGGGCTGATTTGTTTTGCAGCGTATAGATTTACAGCACATATATCATATCACACACCTAAGACAAACATTAAACAGCATTAATATTACTTAAAAAAACAGCACCTACCTCTTCCCATTAAAGTTCAGCAAATCAATCCCACAAGAAACAAATGAAAATTGAAATCTGTTGGTCCTTGCCAAAGGGATGCTATACTGACATCCTGAGGGAAGTATTTGAATTGACTCAAAATGAGAATGAAATCTATCAAATTTAATCTGATGGGCTTTCTTTAACACCTTGCTTTCAAACAAATAGGATAACCCCGGCAATCATTTCTCAAATCATTTCCTGAAAATGAATGAATGTGTATTCTGACCTTAATGAACTCTCTTTCTCCAGGACTTCTGTGCTTGTGATCTCTGATGAGTGAGATGTTTCTGCTGCTCTAAAATTGTCTATCACTGTCCACCTAAAGGCTTGAGATCTTTCACAAGAGCAAACAGTGCAGGATTGTGGTCTGTACATACACGAAGACATACACGCAGAGTCTCCTTTCCTGCTCGGAAACAGTATGGCAGAGAAATCTTAACGTGCCTAAAGAAGCCCACAAATGTGGCTGAACATTTGGAAACATGACCGTGGTGCTAACTAGAAACCACATCTTAAAGAACAACAACAAAAAAAGTAGACATTTGTATGGTAAATGCCTTGAATATAGCTTGTGTGGTGTAGGCAGTGCTGAAAAAGGTTTTTGTGAGTCTGGGAAATGTTCAGTATTTATGCATGCATGTGTGATGATGGTACTTTGTCGTTTGTCATGTTTGAAGTGTGAAAACCGAAAAGTGTTTCTGCGCTAAACGTTATTCAGTTTTTGATTGAAATGCAGCGTTGAACTGTTTTGATTCATTACTAAACAAATGCATTTGCACATTTGTAAATATAATCTGTTCTATTTGACAAAGTGTCAAAGAAGAGCTTGTCCGTTACCCTTAAGTCTGGATCTCAGCTGTAAAGGTCACTTACAAGCAAAACGACTGATGTAGCAAAAACTGAAGGCTATTTTTAGTGCTGGATATATTCAGACGAAAGCACGGTTTATTCAAGTTTTTACCTGACAAGCACAGGGAAGACAAAAAATGCTCGATATGCACTTTGAACAGCGCTTGAAGCTGCACTTATTTTTCACATTTCCAATTGTCTGTTTGTTTGTTTTTTCATTACAGTTCTGTCAAATTAAATATGCAAGGAGTCTTGTGTCCTTGTGTGTTATTAAACTGCAGACATTGTTAAAAATGACTGTATATATAAATATATATTCGAATATTTTTAGCATAATCCTGTTTGCACAATTAATGCAAAAATCAAGAGATGTGGTTTTGGTATCATGTCTGATTAATCTAAGGGCTCTATTAATGTACTTTCTTATCTGGATTTGATTGCATGTTAATACACTTGATTTTGACTGAGGTGTAACGAAACCTCTGAAATGCCAAGAGTTGTGGTGTGTTATCTGTTTTGTAGTTTTTAAGTCGTACAGTAATTCTGTTCTTTTGAGATTAGTTTCACGCACCACATTAAAAGAAACTTTGATTTCTACTGGTTCTTGCTTTGGTGTCCTTTAGACTGTTGTAGCTGCTTTTGTTATCTTTGAGAGTGTGAATGTGAACTTCTGCTGGCTCTCTGCGTATGTAGCTTAATGTTTTCACGAAAGTCAGACTCTGTATGACAACGCCATTGAAGGATATGCCTTGATGAGTGTTAATGTAAAAAATAATAAAATGATATTTTATTAAACGCAACACAGTCTTGTTATTTTGGTGTTTAACTGTCCAACAGGGCTTGACTTGATTGGCTGGTAACCGAACCAATGTGTGTATTCATTTTTAGGGAGTCGAATTGCTGAAGTATTGATTCTGATCAATTTTATCCAGCAAAACAATTAAATGTAGACAGCCTGGCTAATACAAGGCTAAACTTGGGCTGTCAGTGAAAATCTAACAGACATCTAAGAATACCCCACACCGAGACTTGTCATCAAGTAGACAGACTTTATATGTGCAGCCATGAATGACAGACACAAGTCCTGCCTAGTGGCCGGAGGGATTTTGAGCCATTCTTCTTGCATAATAGCTTTCAGGTTACTATGTGATGCTGGTGACAGAAAATATTTCCTGAATCGTTTCTCCAATACACCCCAAAAGAGGCTCAATAATGTTTGACTCAATAATGGTGACTGTGCAGGCCATGGGAGATGTTCAACTTCACTTTCATGTCTATGCACCAATATACCCAGCAAGTCTGATAACAGAGTGATTTGATAATCATCCTGATAAATAGCACCACCTTTAGGATAGAATGTTGGGACCATTGGGTACACACGGTCATCCAGAATGGTTCGATGGTCCTTGCCATCTAGCACAATTATTGGGCCTAAGTAATCCTGTGATATTGCGGTTCAAACCATCACTTATCCATCCCTATGATTTACTCTGGGCATGGGGCTTCTCCACACTGTAACTCTCAGATGTGGGAAAGGCAATGAAGGTGGACTAATCAGAATACAATACATGATTCACATTGTCCACAGCCTAAGATTTCCTCTGCTTACACGAGTGATCAGAGGATTGGCTATTGCATTCTGGGCCTGTATATTGAACTGTATGTTGAATTAAATTCCTGGAGGGCCGCAGCCAACACACTTACCTGTAGGTTTCAAACAAGCCTGAAGGACGCAATTAGTTTGATCAGGTGTGTTTAATTAGAGTTGGAACTAAACTGTGCAGGGCTGTGGCCCTCCAGGAATTGAGTTTGACATTCCTGCCCTAGTACATAAACAGTGAGTTTAGTAACGTGTTGTATAGCCTTCTACAGTTTATTTAGTTAAAAGAACTGAATTTTTGTTTTCACAAATGAAATCATACACTCTTACCATTTAATCTAACATGAAAAGAACTTGTAAAAAGAACCTATAAAATGCTCTTATCACCTCTTTCTTCATGCATTTTTCCACACAAAGCGATTCAAGTATAGCTTTTTCATGACTTTCCATCAAATTAAATATTTTTTTTTATTCCTTTAATGATGATTAACAAGTATTGAAATTAACACCCCTTTTTGGGGGTCGGACAATGTCCGATATGCCAGGGGTTCATAACTTTTGAGCCTGCGACATCCAAAATAACAATGCCAGTGACTTGCAACCCCAACATTCCTCTGAGATGGTTATAAACACAACAACCGGCCTACATAAACATGAGCATATTGACAACACAAAAAAGTGCAACAGTCTAACAACCATATATAATTTATATAGTCAATTATCTTGGTTTAATTTTGTAGACCACCACTCAGAAATCATTCTCAATGTTCAGCTGTGGCCTGTATTCATTTTGAAAGTATTTGGTTGTTATAAAGGGTATAAAGTCAATCTGCTGCAGCTAACATTATTGCTGTGTTGTTAATTAAATGTAAACACCCATTGTATGACAAAAAAATAAATAAATATTAAAGGCTGATGGCTTTTTATTTGCGTTGCTGTTGTTTTTATGTAACTATTAACTACTATTTTTAGCTTCTGTGGGTTATGGATAAAATATGGTAATTCTAATAGTTTAATACGATTTATTTGACTTTTGTAAATCACCAAGCGACCCACACTTTACTGCTCACTCACGCCTGTAGAATAAACATGTAATATGAACATCACTGTTTTCAGAAAAAAAACATTATTTAAAATTTATTATTCACAATTATTATTCTAAAAACTTTTGCTGTTTGGTCTCAGCCCCTCTAAAAGCTGTTGTGTTGTTAAACAGTCGGTTGAACAGTTGCATAAATGTATCCTAAAACGATACCTTCAATCAAACCTTAGTGCAGCATACGTCTGAACAACATTTGATTATGTTAGAAAAGTCAGGCTTTTATTTCCAAATTCTCTAAAAACAGTCACTCTTCATATTGCATAATGCCACCGTGGATACTGTACACATCGAGATGACAGACAAACAGGAGGGGAAAGGTTAAGAGCTACCAAAATGTAATTCACAGAAGTAAAAAAAAAAAAAAAAAAAAAAAGCTATGAGCCGTTCATGCGATTCACATGTCTATAAAAGCTCTGAATAGTTAACACAGCATTTATTCAAATATCTTTCAGCAAGTACATGCAGCAGATCTACGCAACACACAATTGTAAAGGAATACAATACAAAAAAGGAGAAAAACCCAAACAGCACAACATGTGCACCATTCAAAAACCAGCACTACAAGTAAAACTAATTCCACTGACACTGAGTATTTGAGTTGGCTAAGATTTCTTTAAGAGACATCGTCATTTCTTAAACGAGTAAAAGGCTTTGAACTTTATCGGTACTAAAATACTACAAAACCTTTAAATCTTTTTTTAAAAATGAAAACGGAAAGACAATCTTGATCCAGGAGGTGACCTCAGTTCACTTAAATAGTGGCAGTTCCTACAGTACATCATCACTCTTAATTTACTTGTGTGGTAAAATCTGTGCTAACCCAACGTAAAGGGTAAAATCGGTGCGAAGCTTCGCTTGACATTTAAGTGCCAGCATTTACCTGTGCGTCCGTGAGATCCTCCGTCTGTCTAAAGCTATTGTCAAGTGTGAGGAGTCAGTGATCAGGGAATGACAGTTCATGTAGGTGACCGGTGCAATCAGTCGATGAACCACGCAACAATACACAAGAAGAAACGAATGCAATAAATTAACGATAAAAAAAGAAGAACGTAAAAAGTAGCTTAATATTAAGGCTGAGCTGTGGGAGGGAAAAAAAACCTAAAACACCAAATGGTTCGTCTTCTTTAACTATAAAAGATGAACTTTGTGTGAAAAGATTTAACCCAGAGAAGGCAACAAAGGGAAGAAGTTTTTCTCCGATCTGTTGGATTGGAGCTTTAAAGTGCAAATTCCTATCAAATCTCTCATGGAAAACAAAACAAGGACAACTAAAAAGCCAAGTTTTAAGCCCTGTATATGAGGTTGTTTATGGTGAGGGATTGTTGTTGTGTCATGACTGCTGCTTGTTGGCCTCCTCCTCGTAGGCATTTCCAGTACCGTTCTGGACATAGGATGAGCCTGAACCCAGTCCGTATAAGTGACCACAATACTTTGCATCATCAATGTGATCTTCAAAAAACATCTGCAATGACAATGTTCTTAAAGTCAGTATACAGTGACACTTTAACATGTCAAATAAGATTAGCATTTTTTTGGCTATTGTTTAGCTGAAGGCACACCTCTCTCATCTTGAAGAAAGCCATTCCTGTGAGGAGCGAATCAGAGCCTGCTTGATGCTGAGGTCCGATTCTTTCCAGCTCCAGCTGCTCTGCCACCTCCTGCAGGCCACCCTGCGCAGCACAGCACACAAATCACACTTACACATACACACACTTCATACTTCAGTGCTGCACTGACGACAGTGGTGACATCCAAAAACTGTGATGCCTTTAAAAAGCATTCACACTCAGGTTTATTTTGCAAAGCACGCACACGCACGCACACACACACACACACACAAAACGCATTATGCCTTTTTTTTTTTTTACTGGTTAACAAAAACATATGAATGTTAGGCATGGGCTGGTATAAGATTCTGACGTATGACAGATAAAAATATCACGGTTTCATGGTCAAATGTATATAATTTGGAAACACAGACTTCTTTACTATTTAAAACCACATCATTGGATATCTTTTCTGCTGGAGATTTCTTTTCTTTCTGTTGTCCTAAAAAAACAAAAAAGAAAATAAATAAAAATCTTACCACAGGAGTGGCATAGCAGAAAATCGTGGCGGTTTTTAAACCTTGAAAACAATTATCATCTCATGTCTCCTGTGAATTTATTATTATTATTTATAAATAAATATTTATTATTTATTTATTTTTCCAAGTGATGTTTAACAGAGCCAGAAAAATTTCAGTATTTTCAATTATATATTTTTTTCTGCAGAAAGTATTTTATTTAAAAACTTTTAATAATTTAGGTATTTTTTTTATTTAACAATTTTTTATTTTATGTTTTAGTTTGGCTACATAACAAACCACTGCTGTCCAATTTATCCTAGTACCAGTAGTATCCTATTTGCCCAGTTAACCTTAGTAACCACCTTAAACCACTTTAGGATTACTTAAAATCACAAAAAAATTGTTTTTAATAAATAAAATCATTTAGTGGTGAATAGAAATGTATTTACAAAAACTATGGGAACATTTGTAAATATTATCTATTCATAATGGCAAAGACAACAGAAATATCATATGTTATTAAATCTATTATGTTTAAAATGTCTTGAAAAAATGTTAAACAGCACTTTAGAAATATATACAAAAAAAATCAGAAATGGTGTTCAGATAAAGAGTGGTAAATAGAAATACAGTTAGAAAACATTACAGATGTCTTTAAGTGACTTTCCAAATATCTAAATAGAAAACAACTTAATAAAAATAAATGCATTTTCTTTTAAGTGACTTACAAGCAAGCAGAAATAATTGTAGACATATATACATATTAGTTTCAAATGAGAAACATGTTTTTAAAGCACATTTCACACATGCTGCTAATTTCTTAACATTAATAATAAAATACCTTCAAGTTCTTACAGCTCTTCATGAGGTATTTCACATCATAAATGATGGGGAAAAATAAACGAAGAATCTCAAAGAAGTCGACCTCTTCATCTGGCAACTTCGAGTTGGACAAAATTTTAATCAGGTACCCAAAGTCATAGCCGCTGTTTAAAAGAAACACAAGAATATGCCTGAAAATAAAGAAGTA